TTTTTTAATACTTGTACACTTGTTTAATCTATGATCCAAATGTATGGTGGTGATGGATAACAAGTGGGGTTGATTATAAGTAATTAGTAGCCTAAAGACCTATATTTGCAAAGGAAATCTCTAATCTTCCAACTAATATAATCCAACCCTCTATCTTTCATTATTAGCAAATGTATCCCAAATCTAAACTTATATCCAACTTACATATCCAAAAATTGTAGATCATAAATTAATTTAATCATTTGGTCAATTGAAGTCCTAACAAAATAATCGACCACATTCAATTTCAAATTTGACTTAAGTTTCGACTAACTAATAATCACTTCATGTATACGCAACATTTAACACCTCATGCTTGTAGTCATTAGCTATCTCTAACAATAACCACTACAAAAGTGGTGTCCCCTTTTCTTATGGCCAAAAATAGTATTGAAAGTTAAATCGCCATCTTAAAGAAATTTAAATCAGCATAAAATTTCGGAGTATTACACTATGGATGAGGAAATTGATTCTCTTATTAAAAATACAACCTGAATTTTGGTCAACAGACCTAAGAATCAAAAGATTGTAGATTCTAAGTGGATTTTTTAAATTAAAGAAGGAGATTCAAATTCAGAACACAAAAGATATAAAGCCAGATTAGTGGCTAAAGGTTTCACTCAAAAGGAAGGAGTAGACTATCATGAAATATTCTCTCCTGTGGCCAAGTACACTACAATTAGAATCCTACTGGCTTTATCTGCTCATTTTAACTGGGAATTAGATCAACTTGATGTTAAAACAGCATTTCTAAATAGTGATCTTGATGAGACAATCTATATGACTCAACCCAAAGGATTTGAAATTAAATCTAAATCAAAAAAAGTCTGTTTGCTGAAAAAGTCTCTTTATGGGCTTAAACAAGCTCCCAGGCAATGTTACTTGAAATTCAATTCATTTGTGCAGACTTTAGGTTTTGTAAAGAGCTGCTATGACTCCTGTCTTTTTTATAAAGGCTCAGGTGGAGCTGAATCAGTTTACTTGTTATTATATGTGGATGATATGTTGCTTGCTTGTCATGATAAAAATGAAATAGACTTCATTAAATCATAGTTAAAGTCTGAATTTGAAATGAAGGATTTAGGACAAACTAAAAGGATTCTTGGAATGGAAATAGATAGAGATAGAGATAAGTACATATTAATACTAAAACAAGAATCTTATGTGAAAAAAATTCTTGAAAAATTTTCTATGCTCGATTGTAAACTAGTTACTCTTCCTATTGCTAATCACTTTAAACTGTCTAGTGAACAATCACCTAAAACAGATGATGAATTAAAAAGAATGGAGAAAGTACCTTATGCTAACACTGTAGGTTCTATCATGTATCCTATGGTCTGTACAAGACCTGACTTAGCACATGGAATTAGTGTTCTAAGTAGATTCATGGCCAACCCAGGTGAAACTCACTGACTTGCAATAAAATGGATGTCAAGATACTTAAAAGGGTCATCTGAATTAGGTCTAATGTATAGAAGAAGCAATGAAGAGATAACCTTGAAAGGTTACACAGATTCAGATTTTGCTGGTGATTTAGATAGGAGAAGATCCACATCCTCATATATTTTTACTTTGTGTAATGGATGTATAAGCTGGAAGTCACAATTATAAAAATTAATTGCCTTATCATCTACACAAGCTGAATATATTGCAGCTTGTGATGCTGTCAAAGAAAGCATCTGGTTAAGAGGTTTACTAAATGAAATTGGCTTTGCAAATAATTCTGTTAACATTTATACAGATAATCAAAGTGCAATACACCTAAGTAAGAATCCTGTATATCATGATAGAACCAAACATGTAGACATAAAATTTCACTTTGTGCGAAATATGGTCGAAAAAGGTGTGATCAAATTGGTTAAGATTCCTACAGAGTTCAATCTCTTTAATTTGGGAACTAAGGTACTGCCTCTAAACAAATTTAAATTCTGCTTGAAGATTCTAAATATCACATGAAGGGGTGATAAAATTTAGAACTTCAAGTATTGTTTATGATAAGGTTAACTGATATAAATTTTTTTGTTTTACAGGAATGAAGAGCAAGTGAAACTAACTGATTTAGTATTAAGATTCATTAGTAAAGACCAAGATTCAACTCGGCAAGATGGAGATTGTTAAAAAATATGGGATGCCTCATTTAATCTTGGGCTATTGGGCCTGTGGGCTGCATTTATTTTGAGCCCAACAATATGAGTAACTGGGTTGCTGGTTTTTTGTTATATCGTATTATGAAAACACGATTTTAGCCTCTGAGGGAGTGTGAATCTGCCGTCCACGTGGCTACATTTCAGCCCTTCGATTGTGACTATTGAATTGATCAGATATATACTTGACCTTGGCACTATTCACACTCTCTGGATCCTTCTTTCAGTCTCTTCGTCTCTCTTCGTTCTCTGAGTGAAAATTAGGGTTTTGATCTCTAATGTTGAAATCGATCTTTGTGATTGATATAGTTGTTCTTAGTAATATAATCTGATTGCTGTGTATAATCGATAGATACTGCTTTGCGAGGTTACTTCAATTGTGAAAAGAGGCGAGAGAAATACGAAGAAATCTGAGATTTCTTCGCACATTTGTACTGTTTCTTGGTTGATACTAGTGGATCTTGAGCCTAATCCCTTAGTAGATCCTCAACGGGTGATTAGGTCTCACGACTGAACATCCTTTCGAGGGTGAAAAATCTCTGTGTTCTTTCATTTTTTAATTTCTGCAATTTTTACTTACGGTTACAAACTCGACCCTCAAATTTGAAATGTTAAAAATAACAATATGGAAATCCGAGCTATAAATTTACATGAATGAAGTTCTAAATCAAAAGGATAGTTGATTAATTTATGTTCTGTGGAAACTCTTTATTGCAGAAGGTGAGAAAAACTGGATTTTCTTCTTTTCTTTTTGTTTCTTTCTTTTGTTTTCTCATCTCTCCATTTTTTTTCAATAATATTTTGAGAATATTGGATAGATTGAAAAAATAATAATAACGGCATACGTAAGGCATGCAAGTGTTTGACAGAAAATTAATGTTTTTCAAGTTGGAAGCAATATGCAGTCGCATGAATAAAGTTCTTAGAAACCTATGCATTTTATTTGTGATAGTTTGAAAATCCCTACTGCGAATTTTCCTTTATTACAAATACAATTTCTTAAATCCAATTATAATTTTGATCTAAAAATTTACTAGTACATATGAGGAGAGAAATTATTAAAGGAATTTGATTTTTGTACAAGTTTCTTCTAAGTTGGGTGGCAAATTGGCAATTTAATAGGTGCCCAAAGTATCTCAAATTCTCTCTTAGAAGTCCTCTTTCTACAGTTTCGTCTAATGAGACCCTAAACAAAGTAAAAAATATGAACGAAGCTAAAACAATAGAAAATGTTTTAATTTAACTGAAATCTGTGTATGTAGTGCCTTGCATTCTTTTCATGAGCTAGTTAATATTGGCAAAGGTCAGTGCTACTTAAAAGAAACTCAGATTGACACTATCATATTCCACTCTGTAGTAGAGTATGGTATTCATAGATTTAATTAATGTGCGATGGGATTAATGTTTCTAACATTATATGGAAAAGAATTAATTTATTTAATTACTCGAGTAATACAAACTTTTCTTAGTATTTGCTGAATACTTAATTTAAGCATAGATATTTAATTAGGAATGAACAAGAAATTTTAATACATTGATCGAAGGAAAATAATGCTTTGAATATATAGAATATAACTAACTAATCAAGAAATTTCTTGACATATAAATACATGTTTCTACATTTAATTAATTTTGAAACATACAACTGTTCATAGCATGATCGCATTCATTTTGAAATAATGTTTCTTACTAAGATAGAGAATTACGACTGTCGAATACACGAGTGTTATCAAGACAAAAGAATTATAAGCACTGAGTACACTCCTGTGGCACATCATGCATAGTGTCTATCCCTTTAAAAGAATCGCGATCAAAGTACCAGTCGCCAATGGCCTGTGCAATGGTCTGCATAATATAGATTACATTAGAAAGTATTAAACAACACTTTTTCCATGAATGAACTGAAAGGATGGTGGTATCGTGATTTTTCAACTACTGTGAAACTAGGTAATAATATTGAAATTTAATTGTTTTATAAGTTGGTATAAACACAATATTTCAAATAAGATTACAATTATTCATTATTTTCATTCTAATTCATAAAGGAGTGAAGGGTGTTTTTTAAAAAATATTATTACCGTATTTCCCAAGCCGGCAGCACAATTCCATCTTTCAGTTGAGTAAGTGTAACAATGGAGGTAGCAAGAGTTGATAAACATTCCTGTACATGAAGAATTGCCTATTTCTTGCAATGACTTTAAGAAGTCCATTCGAAAATCTGAAAAGCAGTCGTAAACAAATATTATGCTGGTTTTCTTATTACAATAGAAAAGAAGGGCGATACTCTATTTTTGTACGTAGCTTAAGACACTCACCTCTTATGGTTTTTAGTTGGCCAGGGCTGCAGAGTTTTGTATCTTTAGTGCATTTTTTCCAGCCATGCTCATCTCCATGATGTGGTTTCAAATTATACGTTATCTAATCATAAATTCATCCAATAACAAATTGGAAAGAATTAGTAAAAGAATTATTACGAGGTCATTAATTCGTTGTCAAGTTCTTAAGAAGTTGGATATTTTGCAGATAGGATTTAATCATAGGATTGCATTTGTGTTGGGCGGTTTTGAGCATTCTCAATCTTAAAAGCTAGTTTAAGAGGTGAGGTTTTTCGTCACACTTATAAATTGACCATCACCCTCCTCCAAAATCGATGTAGAACAACCTCAACAAAAAGAGGGAAATAAAGTGCATTTATGTATTAGATGTAAAAATCTAACCTCATAAATTTTGAGCTGGACAGTGGACTAATTAATTCACTTTTATTCATATGCATGAAATATTTCAGTAGTTGTAATTCATGCATATCAGTGATTAAACATTAAGGGCGTGTTTGGGGCACCGTATTAGACTGTACAAGTGAAGTAATATAATTTTAAGATAAATAATATTAGTAAAATAATAACATTACGTGGACTAAGGTGGATACTAGTTTTTTATTTTCATTCAAAATAATGTTACTTATACAATTTATCTTATCTTGTCTAAACTCCATCTCCATCATCCTCTATGCTATACGGTCAAGAGTGCAAGTGCCATTTTTTAAACTAAAAACTAAAGAAGATTATCCATCATTATATTATGGACCTACTATGGTCCATTCTAATTTAATATTGAATTCTTTATACCGTGTAATATGGTTCAACAAATGTAACCTAAGTAATAGAGTTAGCAGTAATGAAATAACTGAACAAAATCTTAGTTATACGAGGAAAAAAAATCTGACCTGCCATGAATCATAAAGCGAATTGAGTAGAAAAAGTGGCGTCTCCATATCTTTTACTAAATATTCTGGAAATAAACACTGAATTTGTAGAAACTTTTCATTAGGGTTCTAAGATATTATCAAAATGATATTTGATATACTGCAGATATAGCTCCTCTTACCAAACTCGGATTCCTTTTCGATGTACAAGATGAAGGCAAAAAATTGGATAATTCCTGCATCACCTCACATTTATTTAGACTGAAATTTTATTTATATAGTAAAGAGAAAAATATTTCATGCTATGACAGAATTAAAACATATTAACAACACAGAAAGGACAGAAAATATATATACATGTAGTCTAACGACTCCAGCAAAGCGTTTTTCTCTTCTTTTCACTCCAGGAACATCTTTTCTATAGTAAAGCAACAAAAAAACAACATAAGTGAGCACCGAAAAGTTTGATGAATTTGGGATAAACAATCAGTACTAGAATTTAGTTTACGAGTTTTACGCATGGATAAAGTAACCAGAATCAGAAATGCACTTCACTCTATTAGCACTAGGCACTAGAGCTCGGAAGCGATCACAATTCAGAATTGTAGCCAATCCACCGGCCGAACAACCAGTGAGTATAGCCTGATATAATGAGCTGTTAGCGCATGGACATAATTTTCATACTATTTTGGGAGACGGGGAATATTTAATTGACCATACATTCGAAGCATACTTCATTCCTTTTTCCAACAAATCCTCCATCACAACCTTAAAAATCCTTGCACCTCTATAGTAAAGGTTGGTAGCCTGTCATAGATCAAATTAAAACGAAGAGCTTAAAGGACAAGAATCCCTCACAAATGTAATTTTTCATATGGATAGCATTGTTTTTTACGTAAAAATAGGTACCGGATTAACTGCTTCGACATTTCCTGCGAATGATGAACCATCGCAGTATCTAACAAATACTCTATTCCAGTTGTAGAATTCTGGAATCAGATAAAAGGAAAATTAGTGGTAGAAAATTAGTTAGAGACAATCGTAGTTGAACAATAATGAGATGAATACCAGGATTGATCATTTGGTTATTGCTTAGCACCCCATTGAAATAGTAAACTTTTGGCTTTCTAAAGGAACTGCCATAGATAGAAAGCGCCCTATCTTTGCACTCACTTTCTGTTTCACACCATCCACCGCCCTAAATAAATAACGAAAAACAAAAACTGGGATGTATATACTGAGGGAAAAAAAATCCCTTCGGAAAATAGAAACATTAATGATATTGTAAGCTTTTTTAAATGGGATCTAATGATTTCACCTAGGAAACGAGAGACAGAATTTAGGAATATTATAGAGCTTGTGGTTGTATGGACTAACCTCAAGATAAACCAACCAGTTGTCAATTCCATCTCCGAATCCCTTATCAAAATGGTAAGCCGGAGGGCTTCCATCCAAGCAAACTGTACCACATGAGATCGTATACATGTTAGCAAATAATGACGAAGAAAGTTGCTAATTTATTTTTGAATTAGTCGCTTTAATTTGTATAGTCACACCTGCTCCTTTCGAAACAGCACTCTCAATAAATGTTATGTTGATAGGGTTGGGCACTTCATCAATGGAGTGAAAACCTTCTGTCTTGATGACAACTAATAGAAAGATCAGTAGAGATATGTTTATCCAGTAACCTGATCTTGAATTTCCCTTCTGCACGAAATGTTCGGATGCAAAATGTGTAAAAGATTTTCGTGATCTTTCAAAGCACATTTATCTTTGAAATAAAATCTACAAGTCTAGTTGAACCACTTGATATAGGAGTTGAAGTGGTTAGCAAAAAATGCTAATTATAATTTATATCTTGTTTTTAACACTTTTTCTCACATATAGATATGATCCATTTTTTTCTATTAAAGCAAGACAAGTATGCATTTTCATTAATGTGTAGCAACAAGACTTGGGATCTCGGAATCTTTGCCTCTTTTGGTACAATACTGAATTATTTGATCTAAAAATTTAAACTATTCACAAGGCAATATGTATAGTAAACATGAAAATAACGAACAATATTGAATTTTCATAATAAATAAATCATTATTTGGTGAAGATTAATAAACTTACGGTATGCACCCAACCTAATTTCTTCATCGAATTGACTACGTAATTGAAGGTCAAATGTTAAGGTATTCAAATTGCTAATAATTGTATCGGTTTCATAAGAATTTATAAATAGTTTAATATATATAAATGAATGATAAATAAGTAGATACCAGTTGTGGATTAATTGAAATATGAAGTTTGATTAATTTGTAAATAATTTATAAATTTACCAAAGGGAGGCTAAACTCAAACAAACAAAAATGTGAATACTGGTTATGCAGCTTATAAGACATCCTCTTGATAATCATAGAGTTAAAGTTTTCCAAGATCAAGAGGGACAATGATCTCCTTTATCTCAAGAGAGAATTTATATTTTTGGACAAGAATTTTGGTTTTTTCATTTCAGTAGAGTTGTATACTTCATTTTTTTGTAATACAAGAACATTCTCATGCTAATTTCAAATGTATAACCAATTATTCTATGAGGTTATTTTTATTTTTACAATGTATAAAAGTTTTCCTCTTGTTAAAGTTATGAATGAGATGCCCTTTCATGAAATTTTATTCATGGTGTCAATGTAGATTAACTGTAGGAGTCGTAAAGAAATTTGTCATCGTAATTCATAGAATATTGTATGGTGGTTCATAAACAAATCTTACCGCACTTCCCAATATGTGAGAGCTATTCCATCTTCGAGTTGAATAATTGTGACAATGAACATCACAAGAGGCTATAAATAATCCCCGAGATAAATAAATACTGCCCATTTCATTCCTAGGATTCTAGAAGTTATCTGAAAATCTGAAAGAAAACATAAACAACATTAGTTAAATTTTCGTACATGAGTGTTTTATTTAAAGCTGCACGTACTGTTCTTTAATTCATTTTTTTTAGTTTCTCTTATATGGTACAAATTTAAGCTATAGTCGTATCACGACAATAATTAATGCTAACTTTTTGTATGAATTTAAGTCAGACCGTTAGCTCCAACAACATAGATGTGTCCCAAGTAGACCAACATTAAAAAATAAAAAATAATAAAAAAATACATATATTGACAAGTGCGAGTTACGTTAGAATTACTAAATCTTTATAAGCTATTTACATTATCCTTGTGCAATCAACATATAATGAAGCGTTGCAATTTTAGTTTTCAATTCTGTTCACTAAATATATTATATCAATTTCCTTAACAAAAAAAAAAAAAGGAAAAATGTTAATTTTCATGCACAAACAATTGTAAAAATATATATGATCAAATTAAAGAATTCAAGAGGCTATCTAAACACAGTACATTAGAGACTCAATCGTGTTTTTCATAATGGTAACTATTAACTTCTGCAATTTGCAATAAAAACTTATTAAAAGTCATAGCAACTATTTATTGAGTATAAGATAATAAAAAAACAAAAATAAGGACAATAGTAAATAAGATTTCTGCAGGTTGCTTAACAAAAACATATATTCATTTACAAAAATAAATTTATTCTTTTAGAATGAAAGAATATCCGCGTTATGAAAATAATAATATATCTTAAATATAATATATACACACACATGCATACTCATTCAAATCTAAACCCCTCGTGGACATACCTTGGGTCGAAATTACTTTGAGAAGTAAAAGAATTTCTCCTTAGCTTAGTAATTGCAATCACACCTATGCACTACCTCCAAAGTTTTTGTTTACCACTGCATCAATACACTCATAACCATTTTATAAATTACAATACATATAAATGCTCTTATTTAAGATAAATCGAATTAATAGAGTAATTGATGTGTTTCAGTTATCAACAAACATATTTGCAATGCATTCAAAGAATCAATTAATATCATAGACCTTATTTATAAGTTACAATGAATGCATCTAAGAAAACTAAATTGATACATTAAATCAAATATTTATTTATTTATATGCATCAATGAAGAGAATAATATGATTGGTCTAAGCCTTATATTTGTTTACAAGCATGGATCAATATTCAATCGATTGATCTAAGGTCGCATAGACGAAGAAAATGAAAATGTCTAATGCCTCTTCATTGTGTATAAACAGCAATATGATAAATTTGTTAGGATTTTGAAATTATGCCCCCATTTGAGCCCTATTATTTGACATTATTTGATGTTATAATTTTTGAAATGGTATTTTTTGGAGAATGTGTACTTGAAAAGGAATGAAAAGTTTTTAATTTATGTGCAATATTAATTTATTGGAGAATGTGTAATATTATTTTATTATAATTCAATCTCGGCGATGGACCAAACCATACGAATGAATTCTCTCCTGATATTCAAGTAACTTGCAATCTTAAAAACAAGTAAAACATGATGCCTTTGAGATACAAAAGCTCAAAAGATAAATTGTATAGATGGAAAACACAATTAAAAGTATGAAAAATGCTACCAAAGTTGTGGATGCTCTGGTAGTAATAATGGCCAATGCGTGGTACGATATCGTCCGACAATTTGATTGATTTGGGCTGCATTTCTTTGATGAATCCGATCAAGTCTTTCATATCGCCAATAAATGTTCTGTAAGGATTTCCATTGAGTCCTTGCTTTCTCAGACCTTCTTCTAGCTATTTAGGCCTTAACCACACCCAGTTTATCAATTTCACTACCCATCTTATGAATGCAGCTATGAAGATAGAGGTGAAGATTGAGCTCAGTGTGACATCCATTTTTTTCTTTGTCAGAGACACAGCAACACCAATAGAAACTTGGACAACTTCTACATAAACTAGTGACTAGAAGCTAGACTTGAACATGATATACTTATTGTTCAACTAGCAAGTTAGTTGACATCACATTGATTGGTATCCTTAACTAAAGTTTTGATGAATTTTAAAACATTATAAATCCTAATGAAATTTGTGGGTTCGAATAGATTTTCACAAACTCCATAATATATGGTGAAATTTCAAAATATTTGGTTATATTTTTTTTAAGCGCGTATATTAATGAAATCTTTATAAATTCGTTAGTTATTGAGAGTACCTAAATTTTAACATCTACTCTCAATTGAGGACACCTAAATTTAGAAGATTTTTAAAATCCTTGTTATCTAAATATCACCCACCTGCGCGGCGCATGGAACAATATTTTTTAAGTCAAAATTCAATGAGAAAAAACTTCGATGATCGGGGAAGAACTGTTGACATTTAAAACCACAAGGTACACTGTACCTATTATAATTTGGGATAAATATCAATTGCGGTAAGTGTATTTTCACTTGAATGTCAATCACGTGGAGTAACTACACATTAATTTTATCGCAATCAAGGTAACTCCATCCAATTCCGTCACTAAGAATGATGAAAATTGCTAATGTGGACGACCATCATTAATTTCTACGTGCATTAGATTTTAGGGCTGATAAGGCCTCATCCTGAATGCATTTTCAGAAGTATATAGGTATCTAAAATTTCTAATTAATCAACCATTTTTGGTAAGTATTCATGGAAATCAGCGTCTTGTCCTATTTGATTAAGCAATATCTATCGAATATGTTTCAGATATATATATCAATGCCATTTATCAAAAGGTGATTTCTAGTCCACGCCAAAACCTAAAAAGAGTATTTTCTTGAGGAAGTAAACTAGCTAGATATGTTGAGTTAAAAGTTGTGAAAAATAAATAAGTAGTGAATAAGAAATGTAACTTAGGTAGATTTCCAACATAAAGCCAGTCATAATTAGGTAATATGTCAAAATTTTAGCAAGGTTATGCATTAACACATGATATACAAGAATTTTCATATTATGTCTTCTAATTATCCTTCTTACCAATTGATGCTATTAGAATTCGAATCTTGTCAGACCTGAGAAAGGGGAGACTGAGGATCAGAATGAGGATGATCACGAACAAGCAGTCTTTTTCCCTCGGATGACCTTGAAAATGGCCGAGGAGCAATGTACCGGGGAGTCTCCCAAGTACTTGTGCCAACCCGAGGTACGTAGACTGAAGATCGAGGTAATGTTGGTCATGGACAATGCTTCCTGTAGTTGGGATGATCTGAAAATGACCAAGCAAAGATTCTCAGGAGGAGTGTTGCGAGCGGCTTCTAAATACCTACAAAAGGCGAGTAGGTGTGATCTTGTTACCCCTCTGGTGCAAGAAGTATTCGAGGAAGAGAGAAATATGCAGAAAGCTATGAAGTTCATAATGAGAGTGTAACGACATAATGAACAAAAGGCGTATATTCAGTGGCGAATCTAGGACTTCGATTCAGCTAGAACGGTCGTTGATCGTTGACCATTGTTTGTCGATAATTAACGATCGTATAGCGATATCGTTTATTAATATTAAATTATTAACATATCTTATAAATTATTAAAGCATAAAATATTTAAAAAGAAAAAACCAAAAAAAAAAAAAAAAACTTTTGTAAAGTCTTAACATATATTATTTTGTTAAATTTAGATTCGAAATTCAACCATTACCATAATGATTAAGCTTCCAATCATCCTAATTCTAGAAGTTATAGGTTCGAATTCTTTCCTTAGAAAATTAATTTTGGTAAATATTGTAAAAATAAAAATTTTACACAATGATATGGAGAGAAAGGAATCGAACCCAAGACTCACAATATATAAAAGGAAGCTCTAACCAACTAAACAAAAGAGAGGTTTGAAAATAAAATTAACTACCAATTATACAACCTAAAATTTTTATCTATTATAAAAAAAAAAAAATTCTCCCCGACGAATCCAGTTAGGACGGCCGCCCGTCCTAACTGGCCACATACTAGATCCGCCCCTACATATATTACTAGTTTAATGAGAAAAAACTTCGATGATCGGGGAAGAACTGTTGACATTTAAAACCACAAGGTACACTGTACCTATTATAATTTGGGATAAATATCAATTGCGGTAAGTGTATTTTCACTTGAATGTCAATCACGTGGAGTAACTACACATTAATTTTATCGCAATCAAGGTAACTCCATCCAATTCCGTCACTAAGAATGATGAAAATTGCTAATGTGGACGACCATCATTAATTTCTACGTGCATTAGATTTTAGGGCTGATAAGGCCTCATCCTGAATGCATTTTCAGAAGTATATAGGTATCAAAGAACATGAGGCCTATCAAGTTTTAGCCTTGTTTGACGGTCATGCTTTAGAATTTTTTCGGCAAGAATGAGTTCTGAAATAGTAAGTTTTTGGAGAATATGTAATCTAAAAGTAGGAAAAGATTTTGTATTTATACATAAAGAATATTTTATTATGAAAATGTGTAGTTGAGCTAAAATTTCTAATTAATCAACCATTTTTGGTAAGTATTCATGGAAATCAGCGTCTTGTCCTATTTGATTAAGCAATATCTATCGAATATGTTTCAGATATATATATCAATGCCATTTATCAAAAGGTGATTTCTAGTCCACGCCAAAACCTAAAAAGAGTATTTTCTTGAGGAAGTAAACTAGCTAGATATGTTGAGTTAAAAGTTGTGAAAAATAAATAAGTAGTGAATAAGAAATGTAACTTAGGTAGATTTCCAACATAAAGCCAGTCATAATTAGGTAATATGTCAAAATTTTAGCAAGGTTATGCATTAACACATGATATACAAGAATTTTCATATTATGTCTTCTAATTATCCTTCTTACCAATTGATGCTATTAGAATTCGAATCTTGTCAGACCTGAGAAAGGGGAGACTGAGGATCAGAATGAGGATGATCACGAACAAGCAGTCTTTTTCCCTCGGATGACCTTGAAAATGGCCGAGGAGCAATGTACCGGGGAGTCTCCCAAGTACTTGTGCCAACCCGAGGTACGTAGACTGAAGATCGAGGTAATGTTGGTCATGGACAATGCTTCCTGTAGTTGGGATGATCTGAAAATGACCAAGCAAAGATTCTCAGGAGGAGTGTTGCGAGCGGCTTCTAAATACCTACAAAAGGCGAGTAGGTGTGATCTTGTTACCCCTCTGGTGCAAGAAGTATTCGAGGAAGAGAGAAATATGCAGAAAGCTATGAAGTTCATAATGAGAGTGTAACGATATAATGAACAAAAGGCGTATATTCAGTGGCGAATCTAGGACTTCGATTCAGCTAGAGCGGTCGTTGATCGTTGGCCGTTGTTTGTCGATAATTAACGATCGTATAGCGATATCGTTTATTAATATTAAATTATTAACATATCTTATAAATTATTAAAGCATAAAATATTTAAAAAGAAAAAACCAAAAAAAAAAAAAAAACTTTTGTAAAGTCTTAACATATATTATTTTGTTAAATTTAGATTCGAAATTCAACCATTACCATAATGATTAAGCTTCCAATCATCCTAATTCTAGAAGTTATAGGTTCGGATTCTTTCCTTAGGAAATTAATTTTGGCAAATATTGTAAAAATAAAAATTTTACACAATGATATGGAGAGAGAGGAATCGAACCCAAGACTCACAATATATAAAAGGAAGCTCTAACCAACTAAACAAAAGAGAGGTTTGAAAATAAAATTAACTACCAATTATAAAACCTAAAATTTTTATCTATTATAAAAAAAAAAAATTCTCCCCGACGAATCCAGTTAGGACGGCCGCCCCCCCTAACTGGCCACATACTAGATCCGCCCCTACATATATTATACTAGTTTATGATGTAACCCTATATGGATTAGGACTGGATAAGGCATCCTAGTGTTGAGAGCAGTCTTGTGCAGTAAGGGAAGATGCTTCCCTTAGTTGAATAGGACTCCCTAGGTCGAGTTTGGATATGATAGGGAGATTTAAGGGATTTCATCCTGCTGTTGCCATGGCCCGAGGTGCCTACTCAGGTGAAGACCAAGGTGGTTGGGTCGGGTGACTGACTGAGGTGATGGGTCGAAGTGGTCATGGACTGGCCGAGGTGATTGGCTGAGACAAAGACTGACAAGAGGCCTATCAAGTTTTAGCCTTGTTTGACGGTCATGCTTTAGAATTTTTTCGGCAAGAATGAGTTCTGAAATAGTAAGTTTTTGGAGAATATGTGATCTAAAAGTAGGAAAAGATTTTGTATTTATACATAAAGAATATTTTATTATGGAAATGTGTAGTTGAAAATAGGTATGAGAAAAAAAAGAGTTTTAAAAGAGTAGTTACCTAATAGGTGCTTACTACAGATAGGGCAAAAAACTAGGTACGTCACCAAATAAGGTGCAGCTTATCTCACTCATTAGCTGGGGCTAAGAATTTTGGTGCACATAATTTGTATGATCACAACTTGTAAGAAGTAGCTTTTTTGTCAATCATTCTCTCAATCAAGAGTTGAGAAGCTTAATACACTGTCAAGAACGAACAGATCACATTATGCTTTTTATTTGTCAAGTCAGTCAAAAATAATTTAGAGTAAAAAAAAGTAATAACACAGTAGATAGCACCGTTGGCTAGTCAGCTTGTCTCTTTACAGACAGGTAAAATTGGAGAAAGAAAAATTAGAATTCACAAAAAATTCCAACATTTTGGTTGAATAATATGAAATTTGTTTTATTAATTATAGTAAAGTTGACAAACACACCATGTTACTTGATGATCTTTTATCTATAGAAAGAGGATTGGACCCATCAATTCATTTCTAATAGAGTAGATACCGTCCCTCCTACCAATTCGACAAATAATAGCAGCTCTTAATTTAAGCTAATTTAACTATCTAGATCCATTAGAACCTTAAATTAGATTAAATTTAAGGGTTATGACTATTTATCGAAATTATTTGTCAAATTCATTGATAAATGAAATTTCCCTAAAAAGAATTCCAAGCTTAAGAGAATCAATATGAACAATTCAACACCTACAATTTTTAGTGAATATTTCCTCCAAGTATCAAGTCGCCAATGGCCTCGCAGTGGTCTTTGTACACCACCAGAGTTAATGATACACATTGGCAATAACTATGCTTCTTTCTAAATTCAACTTTCATTGATCATTAATAATGGATCTCCATCCTCAATGAAGTTGGAGCGAAGTGACCTTGATGCAACAATATCAAAGGTTTCTTCGGCCTAATTGCCATGCAAATTGATCAACAGCCACCATTGGACGAGATGCTGATCCTATAGAGCCCTCATATCTGAAAAATTCCATTATATGCAAGAAAAAGAATAGAAACAAGCATCACTTCATGCCCATCAAGATGAAGTCTAAAGTCGATTGTTTTCCAGAATTTTCTTAGCCAAACTTTTAAATACTTACAGTCCAACTAAGAGAAATGCTGCCGTCTGCATCACAATAGCACCTTCACCAGCAGGTTTTGAAGTGTTCATGCACCTTGCACCAAACCAACTCTCATGAATTGAGGAGACAAGGTCTGAAACAAAATTTTATCCAACGAACTTTAGAATTTTTGTAAAATAACAAGGCATTATCGTTGTCTTTCTATCAAACTCTGATAAGTATATACATTTTTAAGATTAATGTTTATGCAACAGGAAAAAAAAAAATCCATCGTGTTCTAACGAAAAACATGATATCCTTCCAAGAGAGTTCCACTTCTTTGGTTGTAAGTTCTAATTTTTATGATGCCAACACTGCTAGTGTTTGGCATGGAAGGCTATGTCACCCTAGTCCTTCAATTTTCAAGTCCAATCTTAAAAGTGTGAAGTCCCTATTTCACTTGCAAACAAGATCAATTTATGTAGCCATGCCAATTCCGTGTTTTCCCCTTGTGTAAAACCATTTGTCCCTTTGAAATTGATCATACAGATATTTGGGGTCCTGCCCCTATGTCCATGGAAGGTTATCAATGTTGTTGACCTTAAAAAATGCACCTACCATGTGGCCAGCAATTCATAACTCCACGCGGATACCTTCCTAATTCCTGTACAGTAGAGCACGTCACTTGTGGACTTTCTAGGTGGTGATGGAAGCGACTGGAAGCACTCCGACGGTCAAGTCAGTTGGCGGTATGAAAATAAAGGGTGAAACGTTCTTATAATGAGAACCATTGAAATATCTATGTAAATAGGGGAAAGGAGAGAACAAAGCATCTATTTTGTGTTTGAGTTGTATTACTTTTAAAATAACACTAAATGTGATTATATATAGGGAAAGATGTAGATTTGGAGCCGTTAGATGGAGGGGGCACCTAGCCTCATCCACTAGTCGAAGCGTCTCCTCCTAGGTGTCAATCAATCAATCCTTAGGCGGGTAGGCATTTATTGTCACTGACAAGTGGATTGATGACTTGACTCTTTGGCGTCTACTGTACAAACGTCACATCAATCAATCGTGTAAAGATTTTATTTTAGATGAATCTTTGTATAAAAGATTTCCTGGTTGGAGGAGACGAGACGATGTGGCTCCCTTATTATAGTTACATGGTACTTTATTTTCGCAATATGTTGTCCCCTTCATACCACTTCAATGCATATCATCTCGATCATCTCTTTGACACCTCGATTGAGCAGTAATGGTGACACTTCGATAATAGTGATAGGCATGGTGGTATGGAGTGACGTGGAGTGCGAGACTTATTGATTTTACTTAGCTAGCTATCATGACGGTGATGATGTGAAGCCTACTCACAAGAGGCGTAACAATGGTTCCAACAAGTCCACATACGGATATTTATATAATGCATGGACTTTAAAGCCTAGAGTAGAGTTGGAGGTAAATTGGTCTTTGTCGAGGTGATGCGTTAGCTTGAAGTAGCTTACCTTCCTTTGCGGTGTAGTTTTGTACAAAACAAACTGCTTCTTATGAAGAAGTTCTAGATCATTACCAATGTGGCAACAAACTAAGCCAAATCAACAAGGCTCGCACTCCACGTCATCCCACATCACCATGACTTTTATTATTACCAAAGCATCATCGTTACTGCTTAACCTAGAGTAGAGTTGGAGGTAAATTGGTCTTTGTCGAGGTGATGCGTTAGCTTGAAGTAGCTTACCTTCCTTTGCGGTGTAGTTTTGTACAAAACAAACTGCTTCTTATGAAGAAGTTCTAGATCATTACCAATGTGGCAACAAACTAAGCCAAATCAACAAGGCTCGCACTCCACGTCATCCCACATCACCATGACTTTTATTATTACCAAAGCATCATCGTTACTGCTTAATCGAGACGTTGAAGTGATATGAGCCAAGGTTATATCGTCAAAGTGGTATGAAGGAAACCACACTTGTTGTGGAAATAAAGTATCATGCCAATATGATAAGGGAGCCACATCGCCTTGTCTCTTTCAACCTGGAGATCTTCTATACAAAGATCCATCTAAAATAAAATCTTTACACGATTAATTGATGTGATGTTTGTACAACAGACATCAAAGAGTCAAATCATGAATCTGTTTGTTAGGGACATTACATGCTCGCCCACCCAAAGACTAATTGGTTGACACTTAGGAGGAGACACTTCAGCCAGAGATGAGGCCACGTGCCCTTCCATCTAACAGTCCCCAATCTACCCTTTTCCCTATATATACTCACACTTAGTGCCACTTTAAAGGTAATATAACTCTAAACACAAAATGGATATTTTCTTCTACTTAGTGCCACTTTAAAGGTAATATAACTCTAAACACAAAATGGATATTTTCTTCTCCTCTTTCCCCTTTTACGTAGATATTCCGATGTTTGATATTACAAGAACAGTCCCCCTATATTTTCATACCGTTAATTGACTTGATCATTAGAGTGCTCATGACTGTTTTCACCATCATTGAAAAAGGCCATGAATGACTAATAGCGTGCTCTAGTGTAGGAAGGTATCCCCGTGGAGTTATAAGAGTTGTTGGTCACGTGGGAGCTACATTTTTTGAGATCAACAAATACTATGCTCATTTCATTAAAGCAATTTCAGTCCCTTTTTGAGAGGCAATTTTTGATAAAATTGAAATGTTTGCAATCTGACAGAGACGGGAGCATAGGCTGTTTAAGCCTTATTCAGAAAAAACTTGGGTTCCACTTTAGACACACTTGTCCCCACATGAATCTACAAACTGGGAGGGCCGAGAGAAAACACAAACACATCGTAGAATTTTGCCTAACACTCCTTGCAAAATCTAGTGTGTCATTTAACTTCTGGTGGAAGGCATTTACCACCAATATATTTTTTTAATTAACAAGATGGTAAAATCTAATATGGAGGTAAAATCTAATATGGAAGATGATAACAGTGTTTTACCCGCTTATCCGCTTGACAAAATATTGCTATTTAAGCGGTTATCTACTTAATTTAGTGTAAATATGTTAATTATAGGAAAAATCCGAATCGGAATGCAATTGGCACGAATAAAAACAATTATGAACTTAATTGGAGTTGATTCGGAGAATTTGAAGATCTACCATATTGAAAGTGACTAATAAGATGAATTATGATACCAATTGGAGGAAATTTACAAGTTCCGGAGCTCAGTTCAATATTTGGAAAGTTAGGGGACTTAATTGTGAACTTTCGAAACTTAAAACAGTTTGATTTCAAATAATTGTGGATGATGAGGATTGAAGTTTAAAGATCAAAATATACAAATAGGAAGGCACTCAAGCAAAACCAAAGGAGAAATTTAGGAACCAAGTTGCGGAAAGCAAAATAATGGACCTTGCGCCACAAGGCTCGTTCCATGACACAAACTTCATAAATTGGCCCCAAACAAAATCTTAATATTCAATATTCATTTTGTCGCAGTGCGACAGAAAACCAAAAATTAATTAGCAATTTCACACTTGGAAATTGGCCCAGAACACAATCATCCTAAAATTTTCGGCCTGACATCTTCAATGACTAACAGCGACAACCCCCAATAAGCAAAAAACGTACACAATTAAGAGTAGTTACCAGAATGAGAGTACAAGTTCACAACAAAAAATTGAAATGAAATGCCAGAATGCAGTTTCAGTCAAAATCATTACCAAGCATAAATTTAACCACAAAGAAATGACATAAGAAAACTGCTGCGGAAAACTAACAAAAGAAAAGATGACAGCGTATTCATTACTGACATGAAACTCACACTGGTTTAATCCAATAAAGAAGCTCTCTGTTCGAAGTTTGTTTCTATTAACATAACCGACGAACTGACTGAGTTCAATTGGATAAGATTGTATGCCCTCTTCCTCTGCTCTACAAGAAAGGAGATGAGCTTTAAAACTGGTGCTCTCAGAAGTTGGCAGAAATACTATATTGATGCATAAACACTAGTGATAGGGTTTCATGCAGCTGTTTAACTCAGCAACCAGATGCCAAGAAATATATAATTAGACAGGTGAGCATTTGTATAGAATGAGCTGCTGCTTTGTGTAGGCAGAGGTTTCAAGACACAGAACACTCTCCACTTGTATGTTGGCGATACCCTCGTGCACTAGGTCGGACCTAAGAATAAATAAAGAAGGAAGCAAGAAGAAAGATCCAATTGCTCTTCCAGTCAACACACAAAATTATACAATAAAAAAAGAAGATAAAATGCAATTTTTGGAGGTGAAGATTTGCCCAAGTTACTGAAATAGCGCATACTTAAAACTGAAGGCCAGTAATGCAGACTCTTAAATTGTCTAGAGATCTGGGTTTTTCTTCAATTGTCCTTAATAATAATAATAATAAAAAATAATAATAATAATAATAATAAAGAAAGAAAACAACTTGCATATAAGTCAACTTGTCCTAAAATGGATCCTAATTACTTTTGAGAAAAGCTTTCTCCACGTGATACTTTTTATCAGGATACATAAATCTCCTCACAATAATCAAAAGAAACTGTCACAACCTTTCATGTTTACTTTGGAAAATCTTGGCAGTGCGAGAGGTACCTATGCCAGCTATTAGGCAAGGAACTGGAGATGAAGAGAAATCATCTCTGCCACCTCATGTTCTTAAAATCCCATTGCAAACACAGGTTTCTAATTTTTAAAGGAGAAAAATGTTATATAAGCACTCTCCCAAAAAAACTCAAAAATCAAGGTTATTCCTTCTCCTTGTTTCAATTTTCATGAAAAAAGTGAAAGCACTGGAAATAAAATTCTAATCATTATTCAAGGAGTCAGTACAGATCCAAATATCCATAAAAATTAGTTTTTGATACTCCAGTAATCGCTCTGTTCTTTTTTCATTGTGTGTGAATATCATACCATGAGTTGGAAGTTGGTAGTCTGCTTTTGACTTAGACCACAAGCTCTTTCATTATAAAAATTGAACAGTGCCTTCGTAAATCGAATTTAAAAAATGAAAATTGTAGTGATACATGACATATTCCATACGAGAGGCCGTAGGGAAGATCTCTGTGCAACTTCAAAAATGTGTATAAGCTAAACTTCTATTATTCTTTCAAGCTTCAGTTTTGCCACGACCACTCCCAAAAAAGCAAAAACAATAGTAGGAAAAATAAACTATTATATATAAGCTCGAGAACTTTCACCTCATTGGAAGAGATCCTAGAAATTAGGAATAGCTACCGCGGTAAGAAATCACTGATCATCTACTACATCTAGCTCATCCTCTATTGGTAATAGGTTATTAGGTTTCTACTTAGGTTCCATAGCTAACCATTCATTTCTTCATTATTCTTTCCTCAGTTAATATCTCTGCCATATAACCTATAACTAGGAAGAGATATTATCAGAGCTTTATTCCTTTTCAAAGACATGTCATGCAACCCCTTACCTTACAATTTGACCCTGTGGAATATTTTGGTAGACTATGATTAGTTTCCAAATAATGAGATTAGGATAATTAGCATCTCAATGTCCAAGATTTTTTCTGTTTTCCTAATTGGTTAGTTTTCTATGTTTTGTCTTCCTTGATTTAAGGAGTTTGGTGAACCTAATTGATGGTTTCCTCTCCTATTTATTACTGTAATCTTTGCCTATTCCATAATAGAAAATAAGAAGAATTTTCTCTCATATTTTTCTTCATGGTATCAGAGCATGCTCTAAGCTTGAAACAATTTCAAGTCTAATGATGGTCAAATACGGAATGGCCATTGACAAGAGCAGCACTTTAGATGCCACTTCCTGTCAAACCCAAGCCTCTCACAATGGCGGATCTGAAAATCTTGCACTCCCAATAACTGGGCATAAGCTGAATGGACACAATTACCTTCAATGGGCTCAATCTGTGATGATGTTCGTATCAGGAAAAGGAAAAGATGATTACCTCAATGGTGCCGCTAAACCTCCTAAAAAGGAAGACCCACTTTTTCTGAAATTGGGCAGAATTTCATGTTCTACGGAACCGCGAAAGAAGTTTGGGATGCGGCAAAGGAAACTTATTCTGATAATGACAACACAGCAGAATTGTTGGAGATCAAAAGTAGCCTTCATGATTTACGCCAAGGTGATTTGTCTGTCACTCAATACTAAACAATCTTACTCGTTTTTGGCAACAATTGGCCGTTTTTGAGGAATTGGACTGAGATCGCCCTGGAGATGCGGCCAAATACAGAAAAATAGTTGAGAAGGACAGAGTCTCTAAGTTCTTATTTGGACTAAATAAAAATCTTGATGAAGTTAGAGGAAGAGTGTTCGGCATGAGGCCTTTACCTTCAATTTGAGAAGCTTTTTCAGAGGTAAGAAGAGAAGAGAGCATAAAGAAGATTATGATGGGAGGACAAGGCAACCCAAGTGCTACACCCGCATCAGAAGGTTCAGCCCTTGCAACTCGTGCAATAATCTCAACTGGTAACCCCCAAAATCGCAAAGGCAAACCTTGGTGTGACCATTGTCGCATACCTGGACATAAAAGAGATACATGCTAGAAAATCCACGGGAAGCCAGCCGATTGGAAACCAAATAAGCCACTTCAAAATAAAGAAGGACGTGGCTTTACAGTAACTTCAGATGAACAGCCAACAACTGAAGCTGCCCCATTCAATAAAGAGCAAATAGAAATGCTGCAAAAAATGTTCAGCCAACTCCAGTCAAACCCTACAACATCTACTACTATTAGCATAGTATCTGTCGCTCAAAAAGGTACTTTTCTAAGTGCTCTGGGAGTCAAAATTGAGGATCAACAACCTTAGATTATTGACTCTAGAGCCTCTGACCACATGACTGGAAATGCTTCTTTATTCTACGAATACAGTCCATGCTTAAAGAATTATAAAGTGAGAATAGCAGATGGTTCTCTATCCACAATAACTGGTATTGGGACAATCATTATCTCAAAGGCAGTAACTTTGAAATCTGTGTTGTTTGTTCCAAATTTGACTTGTAATCTCTTGTCCATTAGCAAACTTACTAGAGACATGAATTATGTTACTAAGTTCTTCCCTACTCATTGTGAATTTCAGGATTTGGTTTCGAGGAGGGCAACTGGCACTGCTAAAGAAAGTGAAGGTGTCTACCTCTTCAAGGGTGATGATCAAAATGAAAAACAATACCAAAATGTTCATCGTGATGATCAAAATAAAAAACAATGCCCAAATGTTCATCGTGGTTCTAGGAGTTTTAATTCAGTGGTTATTTCAAATAATGAAAGTGCTATTATGTTATGGAACCTTTGATTAGGTCATCCAAGTTTTATGTGCCTTGAAAAATTATTTCCATCTTTGTTTATCAATAAAAATTCAAAATCTTTCCAACGTGAAATCTACCAATTATCTAAACACACTCGAAAATCGTATCCGACTCATACATAGTGATATTTGGGGTTCTTCACGAGTCAATAATATTTCAGGAACCCGATGGTTTATCTCCTTCGCTGATGATCATTCTAGAATCACCTGGATATTCCTTCTTGAACATGGGATAGTTCATCAGAGTTCTTGCATAGACACGGAAAAACAAAATGGGATAGCTGAGAGAAAAAATAGACACATTTTAAAAGTGGCTCGTTCTATTATATTCACTACTCATGTTCCAAAACACTTCTGGGTGGAAGCCGTTCTTACTGCCACCTATCTCATCAATAGAATGCCCTCATGAGTCCTAAAATTCCTAACTCCATGCCACGTACTCACACAAATCTACCCACAATCCAGACTCATCTCGTCCTTACCACTAAAAGTCTTTGGGTGTACAACATTTGTCCACATACTGCCTCATCAAAGGAGCAAACTCGATCCCAAGGCCATAAAATGCATATTTATTGGATATTCTTCTCACCAAAAAGGTTACAAATGCTACTCCCCAACCACTCGAAAGTTTTATAATACCATGGATGTAACCTTCTTCGAAAATCAACCTTTTTACTCCAAAACTCATATTGAGGGGGAGAATGATTCCATCATAAAAGAATATCAGTTTTGGCAAGATGAGAATAATTCTTCCTTTGAACAGCCTTCCACAATCCCTAGTTCTTCTAATTCGAGTAACAACATTACACTTCCAATTGTACCCATTCTACCCGAGTCTACTCAAAATTCCGTTCTTCCCGAACCTATTCTAAACAATTCTGAAATGGTGAGTCAACAAGAAAAATTGGAGAGATTTAAAGGGTTTGTATACTCGAGAAAACCAACAACTCTGATGGAGGTAGATCACTTTACTTTTCCTGAGCAAAACCAAGAGACCACTTCGAATTCAGATAATACAATTCAAGGTAACACTAATTCTTATCCTGGTAATGACCTTGATATTCCCATTGCTCAAAGGAAAGGTGTTAGGTCATGTACTCGATATCCAATTGTAAACTTTGTGACAGATGAGAGATTATCCCCTTACTATCGTGCGTTCACTTCAAACTTAACTGGCATAGAAATTCCACATTGCATACAAGAGGCTCTAAAGCATCCCGAATGGAAGAAAGTGGTTGATGAAGAAATTTAGGCCCTTGAGAGTAATGGAACGTGGAAACTCACAGAACTTCCCAAAGGAAAACAACCTATGGGATGTAAGTGGATATTCAATGTCAAGTACAAGGCAGACGGAAGCATTGATAGGTATAAGGCAAGACTTGTGGCGAAAGGTTTCACCCAAACCTACGGGATTGACTACCAAGAAACATTTGCTCTGGTTGCCATGTTAAATACTAAATGTGTCCTATTATCCTTAGCAGCAAACTTAGATTGGCCTCTCCACCAACTTGATATAAAAAATGCATTCCTTAATAGAGACTTAGAAGATGAGGTCTACATGGAAATTCCTCCGGGTCTCAAAAACCCAAACAATGCCAACAGTGTATGTAAATTGATAAAATCTCTTTATGGCCTCAAGCAATCTCCAAGGGCATGGTTTGAAAGATTCACTACAGAAATCAAGAAGTATGGGTACACTCAAGGCCAATCAGATCACACCTTATTCATAAAGAAGTCATTCGAAGGTAAAATTGCCATTCTTATCGTTTATGTGGATGATATCATATTGATAGGGAATCATGTAGAAGAAATAAGTCACTTAAAGAATACTCTTGCTGAAGAGTTTGAGACCAAGGACCTTGGTGTAATGAAATACTTTCTTGGAATGGAAATAGCACGATCAAGCATAGGTATTACGGTTTCTCAACGGAAGTATACACTAGATTTACTTAAGGAGACTGGCATGCTCGGCTGTAAGCCTTCAGATACTTCTATGGACTCCTCCAAAAAACTAGATGTAAAGGAAGGTGCCACAACAGTTGACAAAGGAGGTACCAAAGACTAGTGGGAAAACTCATTTACTTGTCTCACACAAGACCAGACATTAGTTTCCCTGTTAGTGTGGTTAGCCAGTTCATGAACAATCCAACTAATGATCACCTCAAGGCAGTATATAGAATTCTTAGATATCTTAAGAAAACACCGGGAAAATGGCTGTTTTTCAAGAAAGGGACATATAGAGGCATAGAAATCTTTTCAGACGCTAATTGGGCAGGATCCTTGATTGATCGAAGGTCTACCTCTGGCTATTGTTCATATGTATGGGGAAATCCGGTCACTTGGAGAAGCAAGAAGCAATCAGTTGTTGCTAGAAGTAGTGCTGAAGCAGAATTTAGATCAATGGCGCACGGAATTTGTGAAGGAATGTGGCTAAAAAGACTTGGAAGAATTGAAGATACTATCTGATGATCCAATAAAAATAAAGTGTGATAATCAAGCTGCAATCCGCATTGCAAAGAATCCAGTTCACCATGATAGGACCAAGCATGTCGAAATTGATCAGCACTTCATAAAAGAGAAGATTGATCAAGAAATCATCAAACTAGATTACACTCTGTCGAATCTTCAAATTGCAGATATCCTCACCAAAGCTCTCAATCGAGACCAATTTGAAATTCTTGTTTCTAAGCTGGGAATGATAAACATATATTGCGCAGCTTAAGGGGGAGTGTGGAATATTTTGGTAGACTAAGATTAGTTTCCAAATAATGAGATTAGGATAATTAGAATCTCAATCTCCAAGATTTTTTCTGTTTTCCTAATTGGTTAGTTTTCTATGTTTAGTCTTCCTTGATTTAAGGAGTTTGGTGAACCTAATTGATGGTTTCCTCTCCTATTTATTACTGTAATCTTTGCCTATTCCATAATAGAAAATAAGAAGAATTTTCTCTCATATTTTTCTTTAGACCTATTAACTGCGAAGGCATTGACCCAATAATAAGCCATTTTAGTGTAATTAGTAATCAATGATAAACTTCTTTCCCTAGAACCTTTCCTCCATGGGGATTTCAAGTGGCCTCTAGAAAGAAAGAAGTTATAAACCTCTAGAAGGTGGGGTCCAATAACTAAATCACATACTACAATCACCGTGTAAACAGTTTCTTGCAATAAAGCAGGACATAAATGTAGATAACAAGATGTTCTACGAAAACCATGAAGATCCCTTTTGAATTCCAAACGAAGGCAGCAAGATTTATAAAGACACTGTTCAAAATGGCAGCAAATTTGTATATTCTCTTACATGGTAGATACAAGGCGAGCAGGTCCGGTAGGATCATAGTTAATTAACAGAGCACCCCTCAATGGTTGACCTGGAAATTTTTTACCTCGTTTCATTCCAGAATGATAAAAGAAACACTTCAAATTGGAGTGTTAAATGCATGCTCACCTGAAGAACCCACGTAGTTGGATGCCCATTTGTCCCAAATTCTTTGCACAAAACCCCAGTCCATTGTTTTTCTTCCGCAACTGGAAGCGCTAAGATTTACAGCACTAGAAAAACGGCATTGTGGAAAATGAAATAGGGAAAACAACATAGTCATTTCATCAAACAGTTGTCGTGCAGCTTGAATTCAATTAGAAGATATACACAATTATCTAAATTTCAATAGCGTTTAAAAAGAAAAGAAATAATTATCGACAAGAACTGAAGATCGATTCTTTACGCTTATATGCTTGCTTCGAACTCCCCGAGAAGTCGCTGCGATAATTATTATACGCTAACGAAGATCTATAAATGGATGTAAGGGAAAAGAAAATATTGCACAATTCGTCCCAACCTATTGACAGAATGCAATTTGGTCCATAATATATTTCTTTGACAGGAGTCGTCCCCAAGGTACTGTTTGGGTAAGTTTGAGAGAGCAAAACTATTTGATGAAGCAGCAAAGTTAAGTGAAAAATGAAAGCAAACACCATGAATCACCCTCACCACTCCTTCATCGCCACTCCTCAAGATCTAGATCCCCAACCACCACCGCCACCGCAACAGTCCGGCGCCGACACTGCCACAACCACTGCCACCCAACGCTACCATCCCCAACCTCACCCAGTCCAACCCCAACCAACGCGCCGTCCTCGTGGCTTCGCAGCCACAATGTCTAATAATACTAATACAACCACCACCAGCACTCCCCCACCGAAAAGCAGGAAAGAAAGGGAAAAGGAAAAGGAGCGGACTAAGTTGAGAGAACGTCACCGGAGGGCCATCACCAGCCGTATGTTGGGAGGTCTCCGCCAGTATGGCAACTTCCCGCTGGCTGCCCGAGCCGACATGAATGATGTGCTCGCGGCCCTCGCCCGCGAGGCCGGGTGGATTGTTGAGACTGACGGCACTACCTACAGACAATCCTCGCAGCCTCCTCCTCCTGCGGCTAATCTTCCTAACATTAATCATTACAATAATAATACTTCCAATATGGTGAGTATAGTTGGAACTAGAAAAGAACAGGGATTTTTTTAGCTGGTTTTGTTTATTTCTAGGTTTATATGGCCTTTGAATTGTGTTGCTTTAGTTTTTAGTTGGGAAAGTGACAATTTTTAGACCTTTTTTGTGCTATGGTAAATGCTAAGAACAAGAATTACGGAATTATGGATGTGTGTGTATGACTACCTTGCAGGAGATGGATCTTGCTATCTAGTTAGTAATTGAAGAGATGTGAGTAGAAGAATTTATTATTGTATCTTCATTATTGCCTTGCTGTAGTTTGAAGGTTGGAATGTTCTTGTCCTTTTTGCAATGAATGTTCAAACTAAAACTACCTACTTAATCAAATATAGATTTTATGGTTTACACTTGCTAAATTAATTGCATTTTTTTTGTTTCAGATACCTAATGATAAGCTTCCCTGAGAGCTTTAGAAGATGAAACGGAATCAAAGAATTTTTGTTGGGGATTGCAAGTTATCGATTTAGTGTGCATTTGCGTCAATACCCAGTGAACATTATTGACTCTAGCAGTGTTTCAATGAATTCAAAACCAATAACAGCTGTATTAATCTTAGAGTAGCAGGACTAATACTTATTTTCTTTCCTTTGACATGCTTTAGTGGATTCTTAAGTTTTCTTGTTTTGTGAGAAAAATGTTCTTCGCCTTTTAAACTTAAAAATTATAAAAATTGAAAAGTATTGTTTTTAATGCTGGGGCATGTTCAGGGTACCTGCTCCAGAAAGACTAGAGGGTGAAAGTGTTGGGTATGTGCCTGACCTTACACATCCTATTAATCTAAAAAAGGTAATTTGATTTTGTTATTTATTTAGTTCAACATTAAGCATTGAAGCCACATCCCATTCCTTCGTCTCAGTTTTTTACCTTGTCCCCTGTTCTTGATGGAAGAAGTGATCTTGTGGAACTCTATGTATTCCACGAAATCCAGTATGCACATTCGTAGTTCTGCAGCTATGTTGCTGTGAAAAAAGCTAACAATTGACTGATTGTCCCTTCTCCTTACATATTATCTACCAATAAACTATATTGGTTCCTATTCGCCCATAGTTGATGCTTCTTATATGGTATCCTGGCAAGAGGGGCCACCTTCAAAGGTTCTCTTAATGCTTAGATGCCCCTGTTTGTGGGAAATCTCCCGTTGTACATCCTTAAGAATGGCATAATAAGATTTGATCCTATTAATCATACAATGTATATTTATATTCTTGCATTAAAGATGATCAGTATGACTGTACAACAGATTATTCTAACATTGTAGCTTTACATTTTACCATCACAAGCCAAATAATCTCCTATCCTGCCCCTTATCTTCTAGATGATAAATTTGGTATACCTACTGAATCCATGATTTTGCTATGTTGAATTAGTATGACTAGTTGAACTACTTATATAGGCATATGGAAAATTTATTATGTGCTTGGATGGCTGCTGCCTTTACATTTTTGTGCTGATCTTCTATGCTTTGATTGTTGAGGAATTTGCTTTATTCATTATCATTGCTTTGATTTTTGATGCATATGGTGACAGCTTACTCAATATACGACACAATAATTGTTTAAAGAGGACTGATCATATTTGAAGCTCTTACGAGTATATAGATAACCTGTCTCATTTTACTGCACTACGTTGTAAAAGCCTATCCTCTTTCTCATTATTTGGTGCAAATTTGTGTAGGGAGCATATCCAGTGAGGTCAGTTGAAAGCCCACTATCTTCTAGCTCTTGGAAAAATTGTTCCACAAGATCTTCAGTAGACTGTCAGCCATCAGATCTCAGAATCAATGAGACTCTATCGCCAGCATCTCTAGATTCTGTTGTTGTTGCAGAGAGGGATGCGAAGTTTGATAAAGGTACAAGTGCTTGTGCCATCAATTCACCTGAATGTTTTGGAGCAGACCAGGTAATTTTAAGTCTTTTTCCTGATAGTTTACTGGAGAGTTGGTAAATTTCTGGTGCTGCATTTTGATAAAAAACCTAGTTCTTGTCATCCAAATTCTTTCTTGTTCCTTTTCCGTTCATGGAGCTTTTAACTATGTTTTTCAATTAATTACTGGTGTTATTATTGTTCATTGTATTGTTCATATTCCATCTGAACTGTTAATTGAATGATGACTTCTAGCAGAGTTATCTGCAGTGCAGCGATTCTTATTCTGACTGCATGTGCAATTTCAAGTCTCATTTTTGTTGAATACTTACCAAAATATGCACTCTATCTCTGATAAAAACTTAGAAAGTAGTTTCTACTTTTTTTTTTAATTCTGATTTAGGTTCTTATAGTAATTATTAATTCTGAGGTAGGAAAAAAAAATTGTTGTTTGAGTATTTGGACTGGCATTTCTAAACCATGCAGTCATTTGATATATATGGCGATACTTAATTCCTCCCTGAATTTTTCTCTCAATTATTCATTTCTTCTCTTTCTTTTGTTCTTATTTCTCTCTCTTTCTTTCCTGTCCTCCATCTGTGCACATGATAAAGACCTGACATAGATGCTTCTGGGTGCTTCTATTCTATGCGTAATGAATAATTCTCAAGCTTATGGTTGACTTGTGCAGATTGTGCAAGATATTCATTGTGGGGAGCATAGAAGTGGCTTTCAGGGAACCTTCTATGTCCCTGTTTACGTGAGACTAGCTGTAAGTGGTTTATCTACTCCTCCAATTCTCTTAAAATATCTACCTCATGCTATCTTACTTTCTTCCTTTTGTTCCGTGAACATTCCTGCTCCATATGTGGACTGATTTATTCTGTGTGCCTCAATTCTGGCAGACTGGCTTAATCAACAATATCTGCCAGCTAGTGGATCCTGAAGGAATTAAAGATGAGTTACAGCATTTGAAATCTTTGGGTGTTGATGGCGTTGTTGTAGACTGCTGGTGGGGCATCGTTGAAGGATTGAATCCACAAAAGTACAAATGGTCAGGATATAGGCAACTGTTTGACATCATTCGTGAGTTTGACATTAAGTTGCAGGTAATAATGATTTAACGTCTTGATTATTTTTATTTATATCACTAATTTCTGCTTGGTATAAATAATAAACTATTAAAAACTCTCGTTATATTAAAAATGCTGCTGTGGTGCATAAATGCCAGCAACTCTCCAAATGTTTCTCTACAAATTGTCTTTAAAGATTGTCTTTTGTGCATGTGATCTAACAATGCTTTAAGCATTCATTTTCGCGTTTCAATTTTTATCCTTTTGTTGCTTAAGTAAATTTCTTATTAGATTGATGGAAGTAATTTAGTCTGCTGAGAATTTCCTTGAGGAGCAACTTTAACTAAGTCTACTTTTTTCTGAAGGTTGTAATGTCATTTCATGAATATGGAGGAAATGATTCTGGTGGTATCTATATAACCCTCCCTCAATGGGTTTTGGAGATTGGAAAAAGCAATCAGGATATATATTTCACGGATCGTGAAGGAAGAAGAAATACTGAATGCCTTTCTTGGAGCATTGACAAAGAAAGAGTATTAAGGGGAAGAACTGGCATAGAGGTAATAACTTATTGTTTTATGTGTCCCATGAAGAACTGACTTTGCTTTTTAAATCTTCCTAATATATTTGCATTTTTTAATACTAGTTTGTTGACCTTCAGTTCAATTTGATTTCTTAACTTTGTGACTATTTAATCCCATCTATATTTCAGTATTTAATATGCACCATATTTGGTAGCTCGTTCTTCAGTCAAAAGGAGGATTTATTGCTTCTTTGCTTTTGCTTTTGCATCAGTCAACTGCCAAAGAAACATTATTTGCTTCTTAAAGAAAGAAGTCATATATCAAATGCCATATATCATAAGTGGCAGGGTAAAAGGAAACATGAAATTGATAAAGGAGGGAAGAAAGCAACAGATGCACAATTAACAACATCCACATCAGCTTGAAAATTTAGGCTCCGTTTAGTTTTAGTTTTAAGTTTTGAATTTATTTTCAATTTTTTGTTTTGAGAGTGCTTTAAGATTGCAGAAAATGCGTTTAGTTTGTCATTTTGAAAAATTATTTCTAAAAAAGAAAATTGAAAAGCACATTTGGTTTGGAATTTTTAGAAATTGTTTTATAATATTTTATTCAATGAATTTGTTTATTTAGTAAAATATAATAATTTTTTGCTAATATATTATCAAGTAATATATACATCTTAAAGTTGGTGAATCTTTTTCCTGCTACAAAAAAATAATAAATTGACTTGGCAAAAAGTAGGAAATAAACATAGAAAAATTAATGACATGAACACATAATTACATAAGGTGATTATGAATTATAAGATTGAAGCATATAGGTGCAAGTGGATTAAGATTTTATGCGTAAATATTGATAACAGAAATAAACAAATTGAGGAGTGCTTGGATGTAAAACCCGGACTTGGAGTCATTTTGGAGCAAAAAGACTATATTTTAGCCTTATTGGAGTGAATAGGAGCAATTGAAGGCTAACCGGATTGCACGGAGGAAAGTCCCAAGTTTCGAGAGTGAAATTAAACTTATCGAATGTTGGAGGATAAAATTGCACATTTTCAAAATTCGTGGATGACCGATTTAGGAGATTATTGAGGTTCAAGGGCCAACATGGAAGTTCTTGGAAGTTTCAAGATCAATATGTGGAAGATTAAGACGAAAAAGGATCAAAATTAGATGAAAATCAAGAAGCATGAATCAAATTGAACTAAAGCTAAAAAGTTCAAGGTGACCACTGTTTGTGAACAGGAGTTTGAAGGGAGTTTTATCAAAGTCTTCCACTCCATCATTTAAACACTGTAAACATTCAAAGCATTGAAAACTTGTTTTGAATTTTATGTTAATCTTGTTTTCAAAATTCACAATTAAAAATACCAAACTAAACAATATTGGGTGTTCTGCAAAATTAAAAACAACGAACCAAACCTACCTTATTCTTTCAGTGAATTTTACCTCACCCGATGTACCTCCAGTTGCTTGCTTTTTCAGTTCTGTGGTTGTTACATCCTTACCTAAGTACGCCTTATTATCACCTAACAAGATTCCCATATATATATTTCTATGCACCCATTAGAGTTACCATGCTAATAGCATTGACATATGGCAGTTTCCTTTAGAGAAGTTATTGAGTCAGTGTGTTTTTCCAAAATCCTTAATTTTGTTTAGTTAATTCGGTACTCACTTAAGGAAAAAAATGCAGGTCTATTTTGATTTCATGAGAAGTTTCCGAACTGAGTTTGATGATTTATTCATTCATGGCTTCATTTCTGCTGTGGAAATTGGACTAGGAGCTTCAGGGGAGCTGAAGTACCCTTCTTTTTCAGAAAGGATGGGTTGGAGATACCCTGGTATTGGTGAGTTTCAGGTATCTGATAAATCTCAGTTTCTTTTTATTATTGTGCATCTGTTAAAGGTCAGGGAAATTTACAAAAATTGTGGGCAAGTTGGGGAAGACTTTCCATCATCTTTGTTTAGTGTCTTGAAATTAACTTTTGGTCATTAGTTCGGGGGGAAGAAAATTAAATGAAACCCAAGTGATAGGATTCATTCAACATTTGATGTGCGCTCACTGTTGTGCCTATGGTGCTGGTAATTATTATATTGATTGTTTCACCTTGATTGGCCGAATTAGGTATTTACATCACTACGACAAGGTGGATTCTAGTGTTCTTATGTTGTTGACTGTTGAATAGTTCAAGTGTGCATGCTTGTATTATGAAATTTGACTATGTGCTCTCTATAGTTTTACCTGTTCCCCTTGTTCTTTTTTTTTGTTTTGTTTCCAGTGTTATGATAAATATTCGCTGCAAAATCTTCTTAAAGCTGCAAAACTTCGTGGACACTCTTTCTGGGCTCGAGGGCCTGATAATGCTGGTTATTATAATTCTAAGCCACATGAAACTGGATTCTTCTGTGAACGTGGTGATTATGATAGCTACTATGGACGTTTCTTCCTCCATTGGTACGCTCGGGTCTTAATTGATCATGCTGATAATGTTCTCTCCCTTGCGAACCTTGCATTTGAGGACACACAAATAGTAGTTAAGGTACTTTTCCAACTAACCTCCAGTCATTTTATTTCTTCCAGGCATATCCACCGCATTCTGTGACAGTGAAGTTTGTTGTCCCAGGATTGCAGGTTTCATATCATGAAATTGATGATTCCTTGTCAGATCCTGAAGGCTTGAGTTGGCAGGTAGTTACTGTAATGGTATTATTATCTTCTTTTACACTATGCTGCATACTTGCTCTTAAGAAAATATAACAAGAGCTAGAATTTTATGGTATTCAGTTTCCAGGGTTGGAGGTGGTAACACTCTTTTTCACACTAAAAGATTATTTTGCAGCAATTATCAGATTTGATGTTTACTATTCCCATTGTTGCAGGTTTTAAATTCTGCCTGGGAACGAGGGCTCACTGTAGCTGGTCAAAATGCACAATCATGTTATGATAGAGATGGATTCACAAGGCTAGTTGAGATTGCAAAACCAAGAAATAATCCTGACCACTGCCACTTCTCTTTCTTTATATTTCAACAACCTTTGCCTTCGATTGAAAGAACTATATGCTTCTCGGATTTTGATTGCTTTATTAAAAGCATGCATGGTAAGTGTTCCTGATAATCTCTCTTGTCAACAATATTTTTATTCTCAACAATTTATGATTCTTGCATCGTGAAGTAAAAGTAGCTACTTGCTCTAATTCGTTTATCAAATTACTACTGTTGAAATCACATATTGATGGAAATTTTGGCAACCAATGTACAAATACTGTTAGTGCTCAATGACGATAGTTATTTTTTCCCAGTGTCATAAAAGGTGATCCTGCGTTCGTGCTTTTACTGAAGGGAAGTTATCCCATGATCTAATCAGAAGACTAATAGTAGTGATGCCAGCATCGTATGCATATAGTTTGGACTCCCGATTGCTGCCCTTCTTTGTATTTCACATAATTTTTCTTTCAACCTTTTTGGTTATCTCCAATCCATGTTTGCTTTAACCTTTGCAGGAGATCCGAGTAATTCAGAGTCCTAATTTGTATCACAAAATTCTAGAATTTGGAAAGAGTAAATGTTCATTTCTGGAAGGACAGACAATGCCGGGAAGTAGAATTACCATAGATGTGAACCCTGCAACCGATATCCTTCAACAAGGAAGGTGCAATGGAAATGATGGAATCTGTACATTCAGTAGGTGTTCCTCGTCTTCACCTAGGATAGTAAATATAACTTAAATCTTAAGAACATGAAGCCGCAGTTTTTGTATTTGTATCTTCAAGACCTCAGATTTCCATGGGTACTTATTCTTGATTAAACATATATCTAAAGAAATGTTTAAAGTTAAGAGTCAGGATTCCTTGTATATGTCAATGTTAAATGGAACATGAGAATGACTGTGGCCTCTATTGCTCGCGTCCATCTGTTAACATGAAAATTTAGTAGATTTTCTGGTTACATTCATGGCATTTTGTCGCATAATAGTTCTCTTATGCAGTCCATTTTTACCGTCCTTGGGATCCACATGATTGTTTTCTTTGTTCTTTTACGTGCATTTTATTTTTCTATAGACCCCCTTTATATCGAATATGTTCTTTGCTGAACAACGTATTGTTTGAGCATAAAACAGGTAGAAGGTTTAACTCAAAGCAGAAAATTGCTAATATATTATCAAACTTTTTAGCAAGGTTCCACCAGTCTAACAAAATACTACCATTTAACTGGTAGTTGTTTAGAAACGAAAACCATTGATGAAAAAAGGTCACAAACGCAAAACAAGTTCGAGAAGAATTTCTCAACAAATACATGAAATCCATCGTATTCCTTGTAATCTTTGTCCAATAATTCGTTAGCTTGGCATTTGAAAGGGCCGAATAAGTTAATCTATTGTGTATATATCTGAATGAAATGCTTCCTCTTCTGATGTTAATTCTTCACTCGTCCATCATCTCAATAACTCATTCCCATAATCAATGATATGGATCGCAACTCTAGTAAAAGGGAAGATCAGATGGTCGTGAAACTCAAATTCCCAATTTCCAACCTCCATAGAGCTGCCGGTCACAGTATTTGTTAGAATTAAAATCGTCCTAATTTTGATAATCGCAATGCTGAGGAAATTCGCATTGGCAAGGACCTTTCCTGACCTGCATCATATGGTAAAAAAAAAGTAATAATAAAATTATACATCTAGGAAAGAGAACCATATCATCAGTAACTTAAAAAGGATGTATACACCAGATCAGAAAGTAAAGAAAACCACATTAAAGCATGTAACTGAGGGCAAGATTACATTCCCCCACCCCAACTTATTTGATCCCTTTGTTATTTTCACGAGAGATTTTCTTATTTTTCTCATTGCTAGACCATACATAAGTATGTTGCGTAAGTGGCATTCTCCAAAGAGCATTAGATTGAGAGGAATTGTAATTAAATACATTCAAAGCCAACTTGAATGCGCATACCTTGCGTAATGTCAGGGACACTCTCCTTGAGCCCCTTCGGATTTCCCTGTCCTTCACTTTGTCCACCTGCATCACAAATAACATATGTAACTTCGAGTAATTAAAGAATACACGATGAAATAAATAACAAGGTAAATCATACTTTTCCACTGTAAAGGATACAATTTGCCTAAATTATGTAATAAGTGATACACTTGCCAACGCCAAAGAAATTCCTAATAAAACTGTAAAAACGCAAATGCATCCAAACTGTCAAAACACATACATGCCAACAACAAAATTGTGGTTGCACAAAGCTTGCTGCCTTGTTCATGTCCAAAAAATAAAGGTGCTAGATCTCTGGGGTTTCAGTGTTCAGACTTTCTGGATAATGCACAAAACTTTCATTTGTAAAGCAATTATACCCTTAGTTCTGATGCTCTGCAAATATATTAGTATGAACAATAGAATTGCTCAGGCCCGTGCGCAGAATTTTCATGTCAATCCACTCCATGCCTCATGCTGATAATTATAAGCATGAGAATATAAATGAAGAAATTAAGCTTTGTTCTTTGAGTTCTCATTAAAGATATTTAAGTTACTTCATTCTGTATAGATTCTATAGAAGATTGTCGAACATCATAAATGAAACACACTAGTATACCTTGTGGTGGGGAATGTAATGATGCCAAGCATATCGGCCCTCCCCGGATAACAATAACATTGATCGAGGTGGAAGATAAATAGCTTTCTGCAAGAAATTGGAGCTATTTTCACATATTTGCTCCTCTGTGTCACAACTTGAGGTATGACTTGACAGCCAAACACCTCTTGAATACTGTCTGAATTCCATGATGCAAGGGCCAGCCAATGAAAGGCTGAAAATTGATCCCTCAAATGCTGAATGGGTGTCTATATGTGGAGACAAACCAACCCCAGGTGGATATTCATTCACCTGTTATGGAAAAGAATACAATTCTTAGTCAGCCAAGAATATGAGTTCCCTAATAATAATGAGAAACTCTGCACCTAAAAGTGCTAAACACCCGAGCAGAAGTACAATATAAGTAGAAAGAGTTTAGAGTTTACTTACAGTTAATTGATCCACACATACATCTGTAGAAGAATCAAATTTTTTAAACATTGTGATCCTATCAAGTACTGGAGACACAAAGCACGGGAGATCACCCAAGTATTGCTTTGGGTTAACGTTCCTTATCTGTAAGAGGGAAGGGAGATGGGAAAAGAAAAATAAAACAAAATATCAAAATCAAATAAGGCGGAAGGCTGATTCAGCATTTAGTATTTCTGATAATAAATCCGAACTTACATCATAGCGAAACTCGTACCCGTAATGCTGAACTCTTCTTTTCGCTAGATGTTGCCACGGCTGACAATCCACTGCAGCAAGTAATTCCTATAAAAGGAGTATTTTGTAGTTTAGAGTAAATATGTGCGTATGTGATAATAAATTGGAGAAGAACAAACCGGGAAAGAGCCCATATATTACACTAAAAGATTATCCTTAACCTCCTCTTCTTTAGCAGTGACAAAGTCATGCACTAAGTAAACACCAGGAATCTTTAAATCTGAAGCTGATGTTGATACAGGAACAGTGTCTTTGACCTTAACCTAAAAAGATATACAGTCATTCAATAATATGTACAATCAATGGGAACAGCTACTAAGAGGAATAGAAGTCTTAAAAATCACAATAGTATAGCATCAAAATACAGAAATCTTTGAGTTCAACGATTAACTATGCTGACCCAAAGAAGGTTTGAATCATTTAATTCTCATTTACTAAAAATTGATGAAAAGAGAAAATGGAGTCACAAGAATTAAAACTTAGATTGAGCACTATTACATGAGGATCAGACATTTGATTCAAAAGTATGATTAGTTGAGGCAGGAGATGAACTTCATCAATTACAGATGGATATTTTACTGTAAATTGTTGGAGATACTGGACTACATTTTTATCTAAAACCAATATAAAGAGATAGCTGAATAAGACTAAAGCAGAATTGGTTCATTGCCCCCACTGGAGACATTCAGTAAGACAATAGGTAAGTAATCCACGTGATTCAAAGTTATACCCAATTGCCTCTTGAATTATTGCTGACATCATGGATGATTGGGCTCAAATCTGCAGTTACCTAAACATATTACATATTGAAATTTACATGTAGTACAATATCCTCACCTTGCCAAGTGATTGTGCAGAATAGCGAATGTGCAATGAGCGGCCTCCAAGATCAGAACATGGGCGTCCATCTAGTTCCTTCAGCGCTGTTTGTGCGCTACTCTCCTCATGATAAGATACAATAACACGAGTGCCACTCTCATCTGCTGCATAAACTCCCTTGACTTCGCCATATGTACCAAATGCTGACATGATAGTGTCAAATGAAAGTCCAACTGCAGGCCCACAGTTAGCCACATAAAGGTTGGAACTTGACTCACCATCCCTTCCCTTGGGACGCGTAAATCTCGGCAAACCCATAAGTTAAATTCTGTGCCGACAAGGAAAAAAAACTCATTTGCAAAATTGGTATTATCAAGGAACTATGGAAGAAAAACAACCCTTGACATACGAAAGAAAAAACAACTACAAGCTAAGTCTTATTTCCAATGAACGTCTTCTTGGCTTTGACTTTCTCCACTCCAATTGACTAAAAGTACCTCCATGAAAGGCCCAATGGAAACAAAATATTTGGCAACCAAATTTAACTATGCTAATCACAAGCTTGAGAATTTATTCGAGTGCGAAGAAAGACTATGAAATCAAACTTATCCAAGACAGAATTCAACAGGATACTAATGAAGGTTCACATAAGCATAGTAAGGAAGGCAAATATTTATCAAGCCCATTCTCCACAAATTTTTAGTATCACAGCAGAATGCTCATTGCATTAACAGACTGATCCAAGAGCTTAAAATACGTTCAAAATTGATTTATTTACAACGTAATTAGAGGTTAAACAAGCTTTGGACTCAAATCTCGAGCAGCAAATGACAAAATACCCCACAATTAATAGAGTTTAGACAAATTTGAATTCAAGTGACGTTGTTTCTTCCAACCTTATAACAGTGAATGATAATTTGTCCACAGAGAGTAAAATTTAACTGGAAAGAGAAAACATTTCTTCAGAAGCTAATGATTAGTCATTGTACTCTAACTAAGATATATGCAACAGCAAAATCATACAATTCCAAATTAAAGGTACGGTTGCAAGTAATGTCCATCAGTATTTTGCAAAGAACGAGAAATCAAGAACTCACAATGCATCTAACTACAATTTCAAGAAAATTCTATCATCTATGTAATTCGCAGTAGCTTTTTCTGGACCCATAATATATTTCATTCAATCCCTGGAGCCTCACGCATGTTTCAAAAACCAGATACCTTAAAAAAGAAAAGGTATCACATAAAAAACACAAATCACCTATTTCTTCATCAATGTCTTAATCCTTTTCTTTTATTTAAGATGGGAGGAGAAATTTGGTATCTCTCTTTTCTCCACACAGCACATAATTATTCTTGTAGCATAAATGGAGATTGGTACCTGAAGAAGATCCACGAGCAGTTTGCAGAAGCTATTGAACCACGACAGCGGAGGCTCAAGGACTGTCTATTCGGATTTGCTCCCCGTTTCTCTTTGATCCGAAGTGGTATTTTTTTCGTTTCACACTATTTTTCCGGTTTATTTGCAGAGAGAGGATATCGAAATTTAATTGCAATGAAAGTCTCTGATCTTTGTTTATTACACAGCTAAGTCCTCAACATTTTTTCTTCTCATTCTTATTTATTTTAAAGCAAAAGGGTGGCGCTAAGGAGTCGCCACGTATAGCATCCCGCGCTCCACAGATAATCCATATAATTGTCCTTTCTTTAATCGTCGTCAGACGTCAATCGAATATCGACCCCACTGAAAATTTCCCACTCGATTCCATACTCACGGAGCATCAATGGCGACTGCTCCTCTTACTTGTAGTAATCCCCCAAAACTCAAACTTAAACCCCCATTTCTCAACAACTCAACTTATTCTCCCTCTCGTATTCCTCGAAATTACAAAAAGCTCAGGCACTGGCAATCTTTATCTCCACGCATGGCAATAAACCCCAACTCGTATGCTGAAATCGGTAGAAGAATTAACAATGTGAAAAATACTTATAATTATAGTAATAAGAATTACAAAAGGCTTGATTCTTGTCTAGTAATCCCTCCGCCCCAAGGTGTGAAACCCAAAGCACTCATCAAATTCCTCGGCGGCGCGTTTATTGGAGCTGTGCCAGAAGTCAGTTACAGGTACTTTAGTTTATATGTATAAACTATTTCATCTAAAAGCTTTTGCCATGTCCCTCACGTGTTGGCCAAGTATGCACAATTTTAAAAAAATAGGTGGCAGTGTCTGATACTGCGTTAATCATCTTGTCAAAAAGGCAATGCTGTTCAGCATCACCAGTCTAAGTGTATTCACTTAAATACAATACCACGTGATTTAGTTTAATTGAATTAATCAAGTGTGGTCATCTAGACACCACACGTGCTAGATAGCCTTATTCTGTCAAAAAGCATAAGATGTTAAAGAGGACTAACTGTATTCATTTAAATCTTGTTGAAATGTGCATTTATGTATATATTAAGGTTGTAATAAATGGCCTGAGGTATGGAATTGAAATGAGAATTATTTATTTATTTTTTAATTAAATTATTTAGGCTGGGCTGACTTGATCGCTATGTCAGTCCTCAAACCTTGATTTAGTTTTCTCTGTCACAGTTTCCTTTGTTTATAGCCATACCACGTTTGGATCGGTAAGTGAAAAATTCTTAGATCTATCTTAATGAAACTCGTTAAATTGAGTTGTATGGCTGGTATAACTTGTACATACCATACTACTGAAATAGAAAGGATATCCGTCACCTCCCTTGGACTTTTGGACCTTCTATTTCAAAACCTATTGAATAGAGCAGGGATAGAGACTAAGGCCGTTTGTGATTACCCAATTCTATGTCAAAAACAAGCACTTTCAGCCTTCTCTTCTCTGACAGTGCTTTCCACCTATGCTAAGTTTACTAGTTCCTGTATTTAAAAACCTCTCCCACAGTCTGTTTTTAGTAGCAAATAGGGAGGTAGTGGTCTCCCTTGTTTTTCACTCCTTCTATTTCTTTATATAGTTATAATAATAGTGTTAGAAGTCTAAATAATTGAAAGCACCTACGAATTAGTTCCAAGGAATCGTCTGTTTATGGTTTCTTGTTTGTGCAGCTATTTGCTGGAGCTTTTGGCTAAGGAAGGATATTTGATTATATCAGTGCCGTATAATGTGACATTTGATCATGCACAAGTTACGAAAGAAATTTATGAACGTTTCCATGCATGCCTGGATTCAATTTTGGTGTCTGGGTTGCCCGAGAATGGGCTTTCAGGAGTTGAGATTGCTGATCTTCCTTTTTATTCAGTTGGACACAGGTGATCTCAAAACTTCGGAATATAAATATCATTTCCGTGGGATATAATTAACTCTGTGGGGGATGTGATCCTATAAGATTTAGATTGCGAAGTATAATTTTGGCTGATGGAATATCGTATCAGACTAGTTGTTAAATATATTTTTTGGCTTGAGAATTTTTATTGTTAGGATAATGTAGAAAATGGACATCATCATGTGCTATTTATACATTACCCTTGGTGCAAAATGGTTTGTGCAAGTAATTGGATCAAGGTTGAACGCCACTCAAAAATAATGACAAGTAAAAGGGTAATTAGCTTCAAATTACGATGAGAAAACAGAAAAGCTTATTGTAATGGATGAGATAGCATCTGACCAACTTCTGCAATATACATGGGTAGTTATTGACTTTAACTGCTTCAACCTGTGCACATGGCCTGTATACAATAAATGATGGTGACAGAGATTGGTTCATGGTTTGTAACATCACATTAGTAGGGTAGCTGGTAGCATATTTTATCGAGTATTCTCCGCTAAGAAGGCTTATTGGAAGCATATACACATAAAATGGTAGCATGATTGTATTATATATATATGTAACTTTAACATGGTTTGAATGGACTATTAAATCTATCATATATATAATTATTATATATCGTTGCTGATTGTGTTTATTGACATTGTTATTGTTTTAATATGTATCTGCAGTAATGGCGCACTTCTTCAGGTGCTCATGGGAAGTTATTACTGTGAGAGGATACCAAAGGTTCATTGTGAATCTTCAAACTCTAAAATATGCCTGTCATTGATGAAATAACAATGTACATACTTTTTACAAAGACTATATATGTTTTTGGTTGAAGGCTAATGCAATAATATCATACAACAACAAGCCAGCATCAGAAGCAGTACCATACTTTGAGCAGGTATATTTGCATAAAGTTTGAGTACTCAATTGAGAAATTTTTCCTAAGTGTCTTCAATTTTTTTTGTATCTGGATGATATCTCAATACAGTAAAAGAAGTCATAAAGATGTCCTAAATAGGTCTTTGTCTTTGTCACTCTCGTTTCTGACTAGCTGACAGAGATGGAGCTTGCATATTAGATTATTTCTCAAGCTAGGGAATTTTTTTTCCCTTTCCATGCAAATAAATGGTTTCCTCATTCTTCTTGGTCTTGAATTCAACTTGCACTGCAGTTGTTTTAGTATCACCAACATAAAGTCCATGCAGTTATAACCTGTCGTTTCTTAAATAAAAATTTAGGTGAAGTTAACAGTAATTCTCCAACAGATTCCAAATTTGTCTGTCCTTTTTTGCAGTTAGGTCCTCTAATCAATCAGATGATGCCAGTCATGGAGGCATCTCCTATGTATTCGATGGCTCAGAGTGTCTCAGGTATGTTGGACTTATATGCAGCTTATTTGCTATTTTAATTTCGTTTAAGATCATAATAGTAATTTTTCATACTATTATCTCATTCCTTTGACTTCTTCAATATTAAGTCTCAATATAATTTCTTGTACCTCTGTATATATAAGAAATTGAATCAAAGTACCACAAAATATTGTATTGTGCACCAAAGTTTCTCTTTGAGCTTGACAAGTGTTGTCATGTTTTGGTGCAAAGGCACTTACTGGTTATTGCCTTGAAAGGATTTTGGCATAAGATAAAGATTTTGTTTGTTGTTAGCAACATCTTAATGATTCACTTTTGCTTTGCATATTATGGAATTTCCATTTCCTGAAGCTCATAAGCGTGTAATTTTCAAGTTAGAAGCTCATTAAACTGCCATCGTACCACCGATATTAATGAGTGTTCAGTGTTCTAAAAGGCTCTGCTTTGGCACGCCTAGGCTTGAGGCTCAAAGAAAAAGCCCCGTCTCACACCTTGGTCTAAAAATAGATAGTCAACTTTATATTGACTGCCTAAGGCATGCCTAGGAGGAAAAAGCACACCCTTTTTTTTTTGGGAAGTATATTTTCTTATTTTGAAGTTCAGCTCAATAAAGCACACCCTGAAACATGGAATTGGACTCCTTGTAGGCGCAATGTACAGACATCTCTTGTTTCCTGGCCTACTAGGGCACATCCCTCGATTTACCCCCCTCACAAAGCTCTAAGGGCCGAGCGGTGGCGGCCCTCAAGGTTGGGGTTCAACCTTTTAAAAAGGAGATAAGTCCAACAAAAAATCCACTATACAAACATATCTTTCTCGGTCCACGAACAAAGTATTATTGATTTGATGTATTTATGATTTTGAATCATTTTTTGTTGGAAACTTGAAAAATAAGTAAGAAGTTCCTATAAATTTTCAAGGTAGCTTTGAAGGTGCTGACTGTAAGTTGGAGTGCCGTACAGTCATCGACGTTAATTTTGAAAGACTTGTAATTGGTTCTTTTTTCTTGGTTGTTGTAGTTCTCATTGCATAGCGTATATGCAGGATATTAAAGTTGTCCAGCTAATTAATTTCAGTCGTTGAGTTATATCCTTGTAATTTTTGTCCCATATGATGCTTCAGTAATTTAAAGATGTGGAATAATTAGGAGATGCATGGAAAACACTAGTTGATGTGGCTGGAAGAATTATGCCCGACGATGATCCAGAAGCTGCTATATCATTGAACAACTTTGTTGATCAGTTGCCTGCAGTATTTAATCAGGTAATATGCCACGATGTATTTGTGAATTTATAACCTTTATATTTCTTGTGGTTCAAATTTCCAAATTGATCTTGTGCTAATATCCCAGGGTTTGTTACAAACTGCACTAATTCCTGGCCTAATGCTTCACTAAAGTTTTATACCATCAAGTTCTAATTGGTTTCCACACTCACTTTATAATTTTTGTTTAGGTTGCACAGGGGATTTCTGAGTTCAAGCCAACGCCTTCTGAGAATCTGGACTGTTTTAAGGCGTTATACAATGTTCAACACACTCTATTGGTACTTTCTACACTTGTACCCACTGTTAAATCAAATCAAATGCTGTCTAAAATTTATTAAGTATGTCGATTTTTGTTTCAGGTAAAGTTTGATTTTGATGCAATTGACGAGACAGATCTCCTTGAAGAGACACTAAAGCCCCGTGTGGCGTCTTTTGGTGGAAAACTTGAGAAAGTTATCTTAGGTGGTAACCATATCACACCATGTGCGCAGGTAGTATTCTTCATCACTGATGTTTTTAAAATAAGAAAAAAGGGGGAAATCAAATTTGGGAATAGTCATCTAAAGTGTCAAGTTGGTATAGAAGCCATTTCACTCATATAGACAAAGCTAAATTTTGTCAGACAGCCCATGTCACATCACAATCACTTTCCAAAAGGACACTATTTTCAGTTTATAGTCAGGACTGAGTGAGTGCAAATCTGTCAGGCTCCCTCCTAGTATTACTCTTGAGATTGGCACTCATACCCACAGGAGGGGTCCTGCATGCAAAGCATGAGCTCAATGGGATCCACAAGTGATTACTCAGAATCACTTCACCAAAATATTTGACCTAAGTTGTGACGAAAGCTTACCACCCTCATATAAACACTAAACACGATCAACGTAAGATGTTAAGATCACTCTTTTTTTGGTGAACATGCGATGACCTCTTTGCATTTCATCCACTGTCAAAGGCATCTCAAGATACATCTGGTTTTATTCTCCACACCAATAGTGCCCTAGTGTTGGTTGTGGATCGCTCTTGCTTACAAGCGACCTTTGGCATGGGCTTCACAATAGCTACTTGGGATTGGGCTCGGGGCTTGTCCCTTTTCTCGTGATATACAGAATTAATGAACATGTCATGATGCACATCTTATACCAATACACTAGACTCCTCCGACCAATATATCCCAAAGTTGCTTTAACACATCCTATTACACCACTGCAGCCCACCCAATGAAGGAGGGGTCAGCAAGAGAGACTCAGGGTCATGGGTTTGACAGACAACTACTTGGCATTTGTGCTCTCATGTTTCCAAAATGAGGAACTCAAAACTGTCATGAAAGCCCATGATATTTACATATAAACACATTTAATTATCTCCCACATCGCGGCCATACTATTATATGTACATGCAGAAAGAGTTTTATCTCTGCTTTCACTAGCAATCCTAAATGCAAATTGAATTTTTGTATTATCAGGAACCAAGGTGGCAAGTAGGACCCGTGTACACTCCAGCGGATGCTGTTGCTCAAGGGCTCAAGGCTATTTCGCTAAATGATACTAGAGTCCTATCTAGAACCATCAGTAAATGGTTAAGCGGACTTGAAGTTTAATTATTTTCAAGGGTTTGACCAGGATGCATCTTGTATGTGAATCTTCACTGGAATTTTTCAGTTATTTCTTTCCCTTAATTAAGTTTCTGTCATTTATAATGTTCATCCATGTATATGCCACTGAGAAGCAATAAACATGTCAATATAATAAACATGTATGCATTGTCACACATGCATTGCTCATTAGATTTTCAACCCACAGCCCTACTACAAAAAGTGAAGAAACTGCTGAATCAACACCGTGCCATAGTATTATAAGGCATAACAGTTCATTTTTTACTTTCATGTAGTATGATGAGCCTAGCGCTGAGAGAAGATTTATGTTATCATCCTCCATGATTTTTGCAGTTTCATTTGTATTTCTATCCAATATTCTTTGAAAGTCAAGAAAGGTTGGTGCAAACCGGAAGGATTAGTGAAAGCTCTGTTGTGGGTTCTTGTGAAGCTGAAAACAAATCTGTGTAAATTCTATTTCTTTTGCCTTTTGAGAAGCAAAATTAAAGGTTAGATCATTATTCTAATGTTAATGGAGATGTTATAATATAATGACATCAAAATGTCTTAAAGATATTTTGGTTTTTTATTGTCATTGGCCCAATTATTTTTCAAATCCCACAAACAATCAATCAAAATTCACAAATAAAAATCCTTTAACTATACACAGTCGAGAATTTCTGCAAGTGGCGATGAAGAAAATGAACAAACTCATGTACTAAACATGTATCAAGAAGAACTCGATAAGATTTATTAGTCTTCGATAATTGATACTTTTAGTTTAACAAAAAATATTGATTTCTTAAGTTACCAGAAGTTTTACTAAATTTTATCAAAGAGCAAACATTATTGCTTCAAAAATTAAAATTTATTCAAACATTTCATTGAAAATGAAATTAGTGTCCATGAAGTTCTCACCACAAAAATGGATATTGTCCCCCCATTTTTCATATAAAAAAAAAATACTGATAAAATTTTGTGTGGGCATTGATCATCTGATAATTAATTCTATATACATTTATCCTTCACTCATTCTGAAGTTTCGATGGAAAGATTTATCTATCAACGCAGCCCACCCCATTTGTTAGAATAGCTTCCATTGCATCCATTAATTCTAACAAATTGAAAATTCTTTATGCGAGAAAAATAAAGAAAAATTTTCAATTCAAGGCAAAAGGAACAATTAGAACAAAGCATCAACGGTTAATTATCACAAAATTAAAATAATTTAAGCATTTTTTTTTTCAAATTTAAAATAAATACCGTGATAATTGAGATTTAATATACGTATTGATCGTTACGTGGTTTCAACGAAAGTCAACAAATTGTTAATTTTTTTTATCATAATGTAATAATGCATCTCTTTGGTAATAGCACGTTCTTGTTTTGTGATTATACTAATTGTCCCATCATTGAGGAGCCTAGACGCGAACAGTACAATTAGACGCAATGATAAATTATCGATCGGAGCTCCCCGAGGCATAGTTTAGTGATGCAAAGGATAGGAGTGAAGTTATATCACGCCTTGCTGGCAGCAGCAATGTGAGGGATCGATTCCTGAAACATGAAATTATATTCCTTGTAGGCTCAGTGTACAGGCAGCTCTTGTTCCCTAACCTGTTAGGACATATTCTGCGATTTATCTCCCTCACAAAGCTCTAGGAGTGGAGTGGTGAGGGCCCTCAAGGTTGGGGTTCAACCTTTTTAAATTATCGATCAGAATTACATCATCACTTTTCATAAAACGTGATTAATTTTACTATATATTTTTCGTTCACTGCCTGCAGGTCCCTCTTCAAAACACTCATGAGCTACATATTTCACACTTCTTTAGCACGTGTATCTCTTATTTGTTTTATGCGTGAACAATTCAAAAATGTTATATTGTTTAGATTTGACACAGGAAATGCAAGTAGGTCTATACCATTTTTTATATTTAGATCTCTAAACATGAATTTTGTAGAACTTGAGTGTCAATCGTGATAGAAAATGTCCATTCAATTGTAAAATAATGATGATAATCGTTGGTGAGAAAACATCTATTTTTCTTTTCAATTTTCAGATTCTTCTTCTTTTTCTTTTTTTTCTTTCTTTCTTTCGTTTTTTTTTTTTCCACCAAATTTTGAACCTCTTTCTAGGTTGTGATCAGAACTAGGGATGGCTACGTTTTTTTTATCTATATATATATTTTTTTATAACTGAAAATTACATTTTCACTACCCAAATGACGAACCAGCTTGCGAACCGATGAACAGCGAGCACGAGGTTTTTCATTGTTCAAATTGTTTGTGAGCATGAGCCGCCACCTCTACCTTCATCTTCAAATCACCTCAAACAATTGGAGAAACATCATGAAGCAGATTCAAATTGTATATTAAAGGTACACTTTCCTTCGATAAAGTTTAAATATAATTCAATATTACTCTTGCTATCCAGAAGGAAAATCACTGCCATATTCATATCAAGATGCGGATATAAGAAAAGCTGCTGTATGACATGGAGATGGTATTTATTTACACAAGATGCCATCCGAAACTGCACATCTCCTTGTCATGGGGAATTTTGAGCAGACACACTGTGGCAAGCCTCTCGACCAATGCACCATACTCGGCTTCGACTTGGTGTTGCATTCACTGAACTACTTATTTTAGCTTCAGAAAACTGAGTTTCAATATCAGAGGCATCAGTATCATGGGAAACCCGTGATTTTCCATCAACACCATTCAACTGATGAATAAGGGAGTGCCTCACACGGTCCAGCATCGGACTATCTGATATCCCCGGAATTCTAGCTCCAATGAGGTGTGAAATTGCCACAGGTGAATTGGGATTGCTCACAACATCTTCTTGCAGAATATCTCCTATCCGAGAGAGAATTCTGAATGACAGGTTAGCTAGAGTTCGAGAGTAAGCCTCCAGAATCGAATGCCCCACATCCTGCATACGTACATAGCAAAGTCAATGGGGAAATCTTTTAGATCTTGCTACTGTTAAATTCGTATAATTTGTGTTTAAATAACTTTCAAGTAATGCTACTCTCATAATTAGGATTTAATCTGAACACTTACTTGGCTAGTCAGACGTCAAACAGTTTAGAGTAACAAGCAACTTACCTTTCCATATTGAACTTTCGTAACATCAAGGAAGCTTTGAGGAAGATTGGGATACTTGGTCTTTAGCAGCAGCAGAAGTATTTCCGCTTTGTTCACTAAAGACTCCACCTTATCCAGCTCCGATATTGGATCTTTCACAAAAGACCAAGATGTTCGAACTGGAGATTTGCCACTTTCTTGCTCAGTAATTTTCTCTTTCCATGCAAGCTTTGCAGTTTCCAATCTGTTAATGACTTCAAGAGCTTCATGTTCAGATTTCAGATTAAGGCAACCGATCATATCCTCGGCTGGAAGTGATTCTGCGGTCAATATTTTGTAGAGTTCGATACCAAGGCTTGCCTTTCCACACTGTAACGAGGGAGGAACACGGGAGTCAACAATAGGGAATTCTTTCAAATAAAACAACAAATTCATAATGCTGTAAAACCTGACACATCGAAAAATCACAGAGGAAGGTACTAGCCTTTCTAATTTAGCTTTTGCGAATAATTTAAATTTATTTAATATATTTTAGCTCGTATTTTCATGTTTAAAATGATTGAAAATAATGGGGAACCATGCTTGCCTTTGGTAATGCATCCTTGATTTCGTTAGGAACTGGCATTTCGAGCAAGACATTTTCGTTGATAGATTTGGCAGCCTTGAATACTTGATAAAGCAATTTACCATGATGTAGCAACCTCTTTCTCTCTTTCTCAGAGAGCCCGACTGTAGGTACCCGGGGAGAAGGAAGCCACCATCTCGTGCTCTGGCCAGCACTTCTGCTTCTTCCTTCTGCTCGGCTACCCACTTCCGCGTACCAAAACTCGGTATCAACCATCGAGTCCAGCGTTTCCTATCAGTTCGACACATGTAAACAGGCAATGTTATTCGGTTATAGTAAAACTGAAACCGAGCGATTTAAGTTTGCGAGTGGAGAGACCACCTACAAGAAGCATACAATCCAACTTCTGCAATGCTGGAAGATTCATATGAATGTCTGATCGAGCTTTTGGGGTCATTATCTGCACCAACAAGAAATGTCACTCAAGTTTGGTTGTGCTTAAAAGTTACGTTTCTCGAAGTAATTTCGTTAGTACAAAGAGTAACATGAAAATCATGTTTAGGAAAATAAGCAACTTACAAGTTATATGTACATTATTTTATTTTTTATTTTATTTTTTTGTTGTAACGATACAACTAGTGATGGCAATGGGCCGAGCCGGCTTTAATCCACGAGCTCGTGGCTCATGAAAAACGAGCCGAGCCCACAAGCGGCTCTTTTTTTTTCACCTTTTTTTAAAAAAATTTCATCTTTTTGGACGAGCTCGGCTCGTGGGATGGAGCCCCCTGCTCGGCTCGGGGTCGGGCTGGTCATTTGATGAGCTCGAGCTGCCCACGAGCCCGGTTTTAACAAGCCGACGAGCTACTTAGCCCATTTGACATCCCTTGATACAACCCCCCGCCCCCCACCGAAACCACCATAGTCAGCCTTTTCACCCCAAAATGGTCCATGCGGGATTCAATACATACTGTCCACGGGGGTTAGGCCCAACATGGATTTAATTCGCATCTGCAACTATTCGAACTTAAGACCTCCCTTCTTGAATGAGTAGTAGAACTCAACAATCAATACTGAATACGAAACATTTACTTAAAATTTCAACATCTATAGTGTATTTTGGCAAGACTCGACAGTCTTATCATTACTAATAAATACAAGACACGTACTTAACTTAATTTCAAAATCCAATATAAAATTAGGCTAGCCATGTGGTACGTAATTAGGTGCACCACCGACGTATAAGAAATTGTAACACTCCAAAGACTTTTTCACTCAATTATGACCTACCCACAACGGAAATTAAGCAAATCTAACTGCATAAATTAAGGAAAAGTATACATATTACATACACGTTTGTGTATGTATATATAGAGAGAGAAGCTTACTCTCTTGTTCATCAAAGTCAATACTGGTTTCTCTATCTCTTGTACAACATGCTAGTCTCCTGCTCATGATCATTTTCTTGCTTCCTAAAATTACAAAATATTATTAATATATAATTATATGAATGTACAAAATAAAAAACAGATTTTCTTTTTTTATTATGAAAATAAATATGGTGAGCTAATTCAAAAACCCGGGATCCCGGATTTCAGGATGTAACTCAGACAGCATAAAGTAGCCAGTAATGGCAGTGCAAGGCGCAGCCAAGGAAGAAAATCTACCATTTGCTACGATAAAATTATTTTCTAACCAGAATTGTTTCAGAAGGACGGTTGAAAATCATAAATGCATAGATAGTACTTGAGGCATCAAAATTTGTACAAACAGTCCATTAATAATTTGTGAATGGAGACCTCAAAACACCATTTTGCGTCATAAAACGCCTCCAATGTTGCACCATAGTTTGAAATTTGCATTTTTATTTCATTTTTCAAAGAAAATTGGTTAGGTGTATTTGTATCATTTTCTAATAAAATAAATTATTATTAGCCCTAGGCATATTATTGAAAAAATGAGAATGAAAAATATAATCATTATGAACTCAACACAAAGAAAATTGGTTAGGTGTATTTATATCATTTTCTAATAAAATAAATTATTATTAGCCCTCGTTTGAGGCATATTATTGAAAAAATGAGAATGAAAAATATAATCGTTATGAACTCAACACAAGAGATAAAAAGTCAAATATTGTGATTTGATGTGACGATCATATTTTTCGTTTTAATGAGATAAAAATGGAGCTCAAACAGGGCCTTACTATTATTATTATTATTAAGAATTATTATTTTTAATAATATAATCAATTATTTTCATCAATTTAACGTAATACATAAAACAAGTGGATAATTTAGTACTCAATAATAATTTAATATTTTCGCTAATTTAATGAAATTATTTATTTAGTAATTTACATAGTTGTAAATAAATAAATAAATTGCTAGGAATCGAAAAAAATAATAAAACACTGCTCATTTGGTATAAATTTTGATGTAATGGATTAGAGATGATTTTCAATTTAATACAAGATTTGACATAAAATGGTGTAAAGCTTATCTTAAATTTTGGTGCAGCGTTAGAAATGGTCTGAAACGTCAAAAGAAGTAGAATTTATTTCATGTAATAGCTTTTTAATCAACCACTAGAGCAAAAATTTTAAAAAAAAAAAATCCGAGCTAAATTTTCCTTAAATGTGAAGGATACTTTGAGTCAAACGAGCAATTCAATCCACTTAATATTCGAACAAACAATTAAATTTCAAGGTCGTAAAATTTGTTCACCTAAAAGTAGACATGGGTGGGTATAAAACCTAGTTCCTAGTTCAACTTCTTCTCTTAACAAGATTAATTTTTGTGGCTCGTCGACTATTGCGTCAGTGCGCATTCGAAAAGGTAGCGGCGACGGTTCCCCAATCATTAAAAAATAAATAAAAAATAATTGAGATAGATACCAGTACTCGGGTATCAAAATCCGAGTCAAGAAGAACATGACTCACTGAGTTTAATACTTAAAGAGATGATAGAAAAAAGCTTATGCATTTCACAAAACAAAGTGCCTATGTTAAAATGATTAGCGTGTAAGAAAAAGAGAGCTGCAAAAGAACCTTTGACGCAATATTCACACACTTTTTCAGGCCAGAGAGTCAAAAAAGGGGAAGAGAACAAAGAAATGAAACTAAAGAATCGAAAAACAACACATTTTAGGCTAATTTTTTTGTGAGCCCATCCATGAAAATTGAAGTAAAATTTGAGCCCATTATGAATCATAAAAAGCCAAGATTTTTCCACCAAACTCTTGGATTCTATCCCCCTACCCCCACCACACCCCACCTCAGCAAAAAAATACAGAAAAAAAAAAAAAGAGCAGAAAACAGAAGAAGAGGAAAAAGAAGAAGAATGGGGTAGTGGACATACCTTGTATAATCAAATGGGCACCAAATTCTTGTAAAGCTGTGTATTTTTGGGATCGATGTATAGTGAGAGATGGGTGGGAAAATGAGAAGTGAAAGGTCAAAAAGCAAACGGCAATATGGAGCTGCTACTTAACTAAAACCAATATTATATATAGGCAGTGTTTCAGAGCTATCAGAAAATGCAAGAGAGAGAAGAATGCAGTTTCAAGGTTTGGGAGTGTAAAATAAAAGGAATAGAGAAAGAGGGAGCGTGTGTCTGCGTGTGAGAGAGTGTATCTGTCCCCTCTCTCACCAACTAAAAGTTTGAAAAATTGCAGTCATCAAAAGCCTGAGTGTAATTAATAATAAGATTATTATTGTCTAATCAGACTCAAATTACTTAATCCCATTCCTCCATGTTTTATGTAGGGTAGCAATGGACTCAGCCATATGACGAGCCGGTCTACAGATTAAGTTCAGCTCGACATTTGGCTTTTGAAGCTCATGGATCGAGTCGAGACATCCTTAAGTCACTTGTATTCTTTTTAAGGAAATTAATAAAATGAGCTGGTTCACGATTTCAAATGGAGTCAGCTCGTGATCTCATTTCACGAGTCCAAGCCTCCTCTACTCATTTGTCATTCCTAATTTTATTTTATTATTTAATGCCATATCCCACCCCGCCAATTGTTTTCCTAGAAAAATCCTCATATGATGTATAATTTAATTTTGTGATTTATTTGATAACGTGATCTTTAAGATGCTAAACAATAATAGCAAAAAAGTAAATTTAAATTTAATTTATTGTCAAGTTTTAAGTGGAAACACATTACTTGTTTTTGTTTCTTATCTTTTTTAGTCCATCAATTATGACATACATGACTAATTAAGGTATTTTGTTCCTAACTTCTTGTTTACGTAATACATTTTAACACGTACACATCATCTCTTCTTAATAAGTGAGAATACATCGACACTTTCATTTTTATAACTAAACAGGTTACATGTTAATTATTTCTTTTATTAAAAAGAGATGATATATTGATACGTTAAACTGTAGTGAAAGACAACAACTCAGAACAACATATATGATCTTGACTCGTTATCCCTGTAGAAAATAGACTAGGCATCACCTAAATTACCTTTTCTAGACATATATGGATGAAATTTTTAAAAATGAGCATCTAGAGCCTCCGCGGGGTCCATTGGAAGCCATAGAAATTTCCTATCAACCATGAATCGCCGCCCCTCAGGACAAAGTTTGGTTAAGCTCCACATAATTTTTTACTCTTTTCCATTTTTTTATTTTTTATTTTTTTTGGGACTTACATCGTTTTTATTCATAAAAGCTACTTTTGGGAATCTTCAAAATTTTTCCTTTAAATTAACTCTTATGTATAGACAAGAATATCAATTCTTAGAGGAAGTGATATTTAGAAGAATGCATTGGATCTAGAGTTGTGTCTAATGCCTTTCACATCTTATTTTATCGATAGAAGGATAGAGGGATTTTGAAAATATAGGCTTATACGTGCCAATTTAAATTAGGAAAAATTGCAATAACGGTCCCTAATCTTTTTATTTTTGTAAACTTTATCCTAACCTTCATTTTGTGCCAACGAAGGTTCCTAACCTTTCATAAATATGCACCTGAGGTTTCATCTGGATGGAAACCGTCCAAAACACTTTCAATTGACCGGAAAAATTAAGGAATTAACATCCAATAAAATCGTCCAAAACACAATCCAAAACAATATCCGAATAGGTATCAACATCCAATAAAACCGCTGCGTTAGCAGACAGTTCAAGGAATTTTCTCGGTCAACTTATAGTATTTTGGAGGATTTCCGTCCAAATAGATTTCGGGTGCATATTTTTGAAGGGTTATGGACCTTTTGCTGGCACAAAATGAAGGTTATGATAAAGACTGTAAAAATGAAAAGAGTAGCGACCGCTATTACAACTTTCCCTTTAAATTATCACATTGAGAAAAACTAGACTGGACATGATGAAATAAGTTTTCATAATATTTCACCACCATTAGTTTTTATGATGTCCTATGGAATTCAAATGATTTCGATGAGAGTTCAGGAGAGAATAGTTTAAAAGAAATTACTTTAGTATGCTTACCTCCTATTTGGTTTAGATAAAAATTAAAA